CTGGAACGCAAGCCTTGGAAGCAGTAGCAGCGGCCCAATCCACGATGAGAATTTACAAACAGGCTACAGGAAGAAGGTTGCTGGTCTGCAAGCTGGACATAAAGCAAGCATTTGACACTGTCTCGCACCAGGCTGTATGGCGTTACTTATATGACTCTGACCCCAGCAGAGAATGCTGGCTCCTCTGGCAGCTCTGTTGTGACACCGAAGTCAGGCTCCAGCTTGGGTCCAAAATGTGGTCGCAGGAGCTCGAACGGGGACTACTTCAGGGAACCTCATACAGTGCTGACCTGTTCTCCAGAGTTATGGATTTCTTCTTGGGAGGGCTTCTTCGTCGCTGGCAGGTGTCTCAACATGACGTGTTTACCCGGTTTGCACTGCCACACGCCCTCCTGTTTGCAGATGATGTACTTCTTTTTGGCACGGATACGAGGGATCTTCAAGGTAAGCTTCGGGACTTGCAGTTGACTCTTGAGTCGATTGGGCTGCATCTGAATTTGTCGAAGTGTAGCGTTCTGGACGATGAAGACGGGTCCACACCGGGAATCTGGGGAAGGAGATCTGTGACGCCCCTTGCAGGAGCAGAGTCGTTGCTCTACTTGGGAGTTCCCCTTTGCTACGGGGGTAATGCACTTGGAGGGCTTGGAGTGTCTCTGGCCAAACTGTCCTCTTCTTTCTTTGGACTGCGGAAGCTCTTCGATCATCCTGATACTCCAGTGAGCGAGAAACTCAACCTCTTCCAGACCTATATAACCTCGAAATGGTGCTGGTGTGCACCCGCGGTTTACCCCAGCGTGCAGGCACTGCGTAGTTTGGAAGCTTTCAAACACACGTTGCTGCTTTCTTTGTTGAAGCTTCAGATTGACCCCCTCCAACCCTTTCTGTCCAACGTCCTGGCGCGCAGAAGGGCTGTGAAAGTCACTTGCGAAGTTTTCAAATCAATGCGATGGGGTGAGCTTTGGTTGACCCGCCTCTGGAGGTTTTGGGGACATGTCTTCAGGAGCCGCAATGATCTCCCCATACAACGGATTGTTGCCAGGTGCTCTCTGTGGCGAATTGTATCTGGCAGGACTCCCGCAGGACCCCTCACCCAGTTCACCCCTCGGAGGATACAGCTCGCATGGGACAAGATCAAAGGCCCTTCGCCCTGGCCAGATGTTGAGTCCCTGGCACAAGAGAGGACTCTCTGGGATGGGGCTTTGAAACTCTGGCTTCGTAAGTGGGGATATGGAGGCTCAGAGATTGCCAGGCTTCCACCCAACTACTTGAACGATCGACAGTTGCTTCTGGTTGGCAAATCACTAGCCGTGTTGCGGCCTGCCAGGCTCTTTCCAGAGGAGCCCTACAGTCGTGGACTTCAACATATCATTAGGGGTGTGCCTCGGTCCACACAGTGGACAGTTTGGGTCTGCCTGCTCGAAGAGGGTGTAGACATCCGGGTAATTGCGCCGAAGGCTGCGAAGGTCAAGACGGTGGTCTTGCAACTTCGGGTAGAATCGGGTCAGCTGCTTAGCAAACGGCTCCAGTTGTGGGAGCTCCTCCGGCAGGTATGGCTCTGGATACCGCTGCTGTGGGAACAGAGAGCTGCAGTTTACTTGCCACTAGGAGCTTTCGGGCCACATATTTGGTGCCACCAGGTTCCCCTCACGCAGCTCTGGCGGTCGCATAGACTAGCTGACTTTGAAGTAGGGCAGGACTTGTTGTCTTTCTGCTATCTGTACCCCAAGAAAATCCCGGACTGGCTGCACCAGCACCTTGCAGGCCCCTTTGGGCCTTTCGTTGAGGATCGAAGCTTCCTTGCCAGGTTTGCCGATTTTAGTCAGGCCTCGTATCACTCCGAGCTCCCCAGGACCTACCCACTCCGGACAGTCATAGATTTGACCTGAACTGTTGTGAGTGCTGCGAGTGCATTTCTTCATGTGGTGACTCCGTGAGCCTTTGTTGCTACATGTCATGTCTTGCACGTTGTTGGGGGGGGGGGGGGGCAGGACGGTCAGCAAAAGCACACGTGGGCAGCAACTTGATACCTCGAGCCTGAGCCCTTCTCGTTAGCCCCCTCGCCAGCATGGAAGTTGACTGGCTCGTCCAGCTCCTGACTGTGGTCCTCACCCTGCTCGTGGTTCTCGTTGTCAAAGATGTCAATGACTGGTGGAACTCATCGCGCAGTACCAGCAGTGCCCATGGAGGGCCGATGCTGGGAGCCCAGAAAACCGAAGATGTGGTGGTGAAGGATGAAGCCACTGCTGAGCCCTCGTCGGGGGATGGAGCAACCACACCGGCGGTCCTTGACCAGGGCAGCAAGGACGATGGAGCCCCGTGCCAGACCAAGGATGATGGTGATGGCGCCGCCCAGCTGCCTGCCTCACCTTGTAAGGATGGGACTACAGATACAGCAGGCACACCGCAGAAGCCAGCTGTGGACGACCCTCCCCAGGAAACTACGAAGGCGACAAGCCCGGCGAGTAAGTTGCAGGAGTCTGTGATGCAGGAGCTGCAGGAGTGCCACACTACGGTCAAGAACTTTGCAGCCAACATGTCGAGGCTCCTCAACGGGATCACTAGTGTGGCCCCCAACCTGGCTAAGGTCCAGACGGAACTGGAAAACAGCCAGAAAGCGGCCAGTGCCTTGGAAGCTACAGTAGCCAAGTCCCTCGCCAAGATGGATAAGGTCAAGGACAACTCCGATGATCTCAAGGAGCTGGTGAAGCGCACATCTGGTCTTGAGAGCATTGTGGGAGCAGTGACGGCGAAGATGGGACCTTTGGCCCAGAGCGTGGACAGCTTCGGCAAGAGCTCTGACTCTCAGCTCAAGGACACCTTGAAGAGTGTTGCGGCGGTCGCTAGCTCCTCGAAGCAACAAAGTGCGGACATCGCGGCCCATGTCACTGCCAAGACGGCGCTCCTGGAGGCGGGTCTGAAGGAGGTGCTGCGGAAGATCACGGCCACGGACTATGACAGCCATACGAGTGTGACTGGCCATATCAAAGACCTGGCCAATCAGGTCTACGACCTTGGCCAAGAACTGCTTGCAGCCTTGAGCTTCCAGCAAAACGAAGCTGCGACCCAGAAGGAGAACCTCTTCCAGATGGCCACGGCAATGGCGGATATCTCCGAGCAAATCCGCATCGTTCGTGACTACTGTGAGCGACCAGTCCCCGTGGCAATGAGCTCCCACCCGGCGGAGAGGCCGCCAATGCCGCCTCCAGCATATGAGCCGAACCTCCACCGGATGGGACCTCGCCAACTCCACCTGGACACGGCGCTCCCTGCTACGAGACCCTCTACGGTGTCTTCGGTCCGAGTGGACACAGGAGATGGCCGCAGTGTGACCATCCCACTGTCGTGAGAAGGGCTCTTTCAAGCTGTGCATGCTGTCGGTAACCGACGACTTGGAGCTACGCGACCTAGTCCTTTTGTAGCCGACTGCATGCCCTTGCTTCTGCCCCTGCCTTGCTGTACTGGAATTTGTTTTTGCATGTCTTGACAACTGCACTGTACTGTACTTCCTTGAGCCCTTGCCTAATTTGAGACCTGACATGTGCTGCATGCTGAACTGGATGCCTTGATTTCACTTATTACCTACTGGACATTGGCATACAGTTCCGGTAGCCAGAATTCTGGGGGATCGTTGCCTTTGGGGTACGGTTTCACTTGTATGGTATAACAGGGTTTGTTTTGTTTCTAAATTATACCTTTCCCTCTTTTGATAACCAAACCACTATCCCCCGCCCGCGCGGAGAGCCATGGCATTTTCAGACATCAGCTGACCTTTGCCGGGCATATATCAAGCTCAGAAGCTGCACAAACAGACCTCAAGAAAGCAGACTGGACAGATCGTGGTACAAAGTTCATCATATTACATTGCACTACACTGGACTGGACTTGTGGCTTTTCTGTGATCCTGCTACGCTTCTGAATAGAATGAGGAATCTCTTGGCTTGGGAACAACAAGCACGACGGGACTACTGTGGCTGGAGCCCCTAGCCGGAGGTTGAAGGGCCAGTGCATGGCAAAGTGCCAAGTAGGCCAATCTTTGAAAAGATATAGTCCTGGTGCATACATCCCGCTGGACCATGAGTCTACTGGCTACCAGAGGGATCTGTCTACCCGAGGGATCTGTCTGGCTCCCACTATGAGAAGAGAAGAGATGGGCGTGAGCGCCTTGAGACCAGTCAGTCAGCAATGGGGCAGTTCCAGATCTGAACTCTATGACTTCGCCACCTCCTGTGTGCTAGTGCGTGAATTCCTGCGAAGCATACAGACCAGCTGTGAGCACCACTGAGCCGTCTTGCAATGGACACAATGAGAATGAGAGACCGCAAGTTTCACTCCAAATAGTTTGGTGCTCTGTGGGAACCCACGAAAGGCCCCCGGTTACCTATTTAATTCTAGAAAGGCCTGGAGTGGATTTTGCTTTGCACCCTCATGCTCAAAGTAGCCCAACGAGTACACCCGTGAAGTATATAGACGTAGAACAGACAACGGTAGTTTGCACGACGTCCTCCAGCGCTCTGAACTATCCAACTTTATATGTTGGGGTGTCACTGTTTTCAATGTAGCCTATTAACTTGTTGCTGCTAGAGACTGGATGACAGTCGAATTCTGATGACCAGAGTACACTCTGGATAGTTGACCCGATGGTTTCTGGTGATGTAGCTTTGAACTTATGCGTGTGTGGTTCGTGTTCAACCTTATCCTTGTGGTGATTGGGGAACACTGGGCAACTGTCGTAGATTCTCGTACCAGTTGACCCTTGTTTGTGTCGTTTTAGCTTATGCCGAGCCTTTTGTGTCCATCGTGGTGAACTGGTACAAGTGAGAATCGCACCCGAATTCTTTTCACACCGACTCCGCACCTAAGAACCTCGCCTGGCTGTGTCCGAGTTGTGAGAGCGTAAACCCTAAAAAAAAACTCTAAACCTTAAACCCCAAACCCTAAAAAACAACCTAAACCTTAAATCCTAAACCCTAAAAAAACACTTTAAACCCTCTCAAAAAGAGGATGAGATCGATGCCCCGGCACCTCGTGTTGCTGCTGGTGGCCCGGTCGCCGGGGCTCCATCAGGCGCTCCGCAATTTGCCAGGGAGTTGGTCCTGTTGATGATATAACTTAGGGGTACTTAGAAATAATTTTTAATTTTTGGTTATTATGATCCCTAAGAAACAGCTAAAATTAAAATTTTTGCTAAGGTTCTAAGTTCAGTATAGATAAATCCTGGGGTTCCCTTTAAAGGGATCTATAAGGGTACCTTTTAGGGGTTCCTTTAAGGGATCTATAGGGTTTAGGGTTGATGATATAAATCCTGGGGTTCCCTTTAAAGGGATCTATAAGGGTACCTTTATAGGGGCTCCTTTACGGGATCTATAGGGTTTTAGGGTTTAGGGTTGATGATATAAATCCTGCATTACCTTAAGGACCCTAAACTATGGGAATGATGGTATATTCCTTATTATGGGTAATGCAGGATTTACATCATCAACCGTAGTTTGGGGTTTAGGGCCTATTGGGGGTTAGGGCTTAGGGTTTATAGGGCCGAAGGAGGTGAATGCCTTGACTGCGAATTGTTACAGATTGCTCTTGAGCCTCGCCCCAAGCCCCTCTTTTGTTCGCAAAACCCTGGCTGGCGAAACACTCTTGCAAAGCTCTCCGACCAAAGACTCGGAATTTAGGCTTTAGGATTAGGCGCTGTCAGTTTACCGTAAGCCGTAAGCCCCGTGAACTCAGCCCTACAGAGTCGTTGTAAGCACCAATCTCGGTACACTACAAACGTTTTTCGCCTGAACCCCCAAACCGAAAAGCTTGTAAACCCCTTGCTGCTTGAAGGCTCCATGGGACCTAATGCCGTGAACGCGCTCTTCGACAAGTTGGATACGGAGCGCTCATCTCCCCCGGGGAGTCGGGTTTAGGGTGTAGGGGCCGGGCTTGACGTTTCGATTGCCTGGGTTTAAGGGCAAAAGGGTTTAGGGGGGGGGGGGTTCGTACATGATTTTTAAGGGGTTGTTGGCGCAGAGACCTTCGCAAGAACCCTCGACCCTCCACACCCTATAGTCCCTGAAACCCCCAAACCCTAAACGGACCCTAATACCCTGCCTCTGTAGGGCTCCCTTCTTACGATTTCCTCACATAAGTCTTCAAAACAAGGTATGTGCAATGTAGGTGTGAATCCAACACCCTGAAGAAAGCCTTGTGAAAGGCCTGGACACCCCAAACTATACAAGCCGCCAGCCCCAAAAGCTTTAAAACTCTTATATAAATCCTAAAGACCACCCAAAAAAGCTCACCCCAAAAGCCTTAAAAGCCCTATAGAAATCAGGAAAACACACCCAAAACGCCTTCAAACGCCACGAGTCCTAAACACCTTCCGTACTGCGACTGATCCGTTGTTGAAGTTTCACATTGTCAAACCCTAAACCCTAAACCCTAAACCCAGACTCCGAACCAATGCCTCGCCTGGATTGCCCGAGTGTGAGCGCCGAAACACCTTCAAAGCCTTATAAGCCCTACCCCACCCCCCCCCGGAAAACCTTCAAAGACCTAAAACCCTGGAAGCCTTACATCCTAAAGCCCCCAAATCATATAGGGGCCTAAGTACTGACCAATACTATTTTGGGGGGTTCCTTATCATAATTACAGTATATCTATAGTAGAATATACACCAAAACCCAATTCCAATTCTTAAGGCCCCTTTATCATGGAGCCTTTATAGTATCCCTTATAGTAACCCTTATATAGAGCCCTTTTCTTAAAGGAGCCCCTATTCTAAGTATGAAGGCCCCCCTAGAGAAACGTCGAAGAGCCAGAGAGCTCGATACCCCTTAAGTAAGGAATATGGCTTAAATTATATAGGGCTTCATATTGTATTCCTCAATTAAAAGAAGCTTCGAAGAGCCGGGGAGGATGGCGATGGCGTGCTCTCGGCAGCAGAGCTCCGATCCGGCGGCTTCCGCTGAGCGAAGGACCGGGCTTGCTTTGAGGGGATTTGGGTCTAGGGGTTTAGGGTTAATTAGGGGTTTAGGGGTTTAGGGGTTTAGGGTTAATTGGGGGGATAGGAATTTAGGGTTAATTAGGGGGTTAGCGTTTAGGGTTTACCAGGCGTCCTTGCAAGCAAGCCTGCAGCAAAAAGGGGTTTAGGGTTTCGGGGGGGGTACCCGGCATCGCAATAGGCCTGGATGCAAAAAGGGTTTAGGGGTTAGGGTTTAGAGTTCAGGGTTCGGACGGGATCGAACGGGATTTGGGTCTTGGTGTGTGGAGGTTTTGAGCTGACGGAGTCGGGCATTTTGAAAATTTGGTGATTCAGGGTTTCAGATCATATCTGTAGACTGCGTTCATCTTCTTAGTTTATTGTTGCCTGCTTGATGTCCGAGGTTAGTTTAACTGGATTGTAGTTTTTTAGCGAGAGTGTTGCTTTTTCCTGGGGAGTTGCTGGGGTTTTCTGCAAAACTTTCTGGGTTCAGTTAGGGCCAAGGGGCTGCAAGTCGGTTGAAACATTGCCAGCAAGATCAGGGCTTGGGCCCTTTACTGGATGCAGCTTTCGAACCTGGATCTTCTGACAACAGGAAAACAACAAACATGCTACAATTCATCTTTATGCAGATCCTGAACCTTCGGCATGCTTCTTTTTCCAAACATGAAGGCCCATCAATAGATATTCTGAGCCTGAGCCCGTACACGATGCTTCTATGGCCTGAGCCTGAAAGCACACGACAAAAAGCTGAATCTTGTTTCAAGGCTCCGGGGAGTTCGGAAGTAGATGTATGAGTGTATATATATATATATATATATATATATGTACAGCCGGGTGATAGGTAGGCATATAGTTTGAGACCCTGTTAAGGTTGTCCTACTTACACCCCGGCTCGTGAAGAACCTGCTGGAGAAGCCGTTACCTCTGTAAGTAAGTGCCCACAGAAACACTGTCCGTTCCTGAGCAGAATGGAGGAGATTTGAGCGGGATGCTATGAGATGAAATTTCCTGTGGTTGTCCACAGTCGCCAAATGCCACACTCTTGATTGTACCCTTTTCCGGTCAAAGTGCTGCTGTACACTAAGCCGAACGTACTGTCAACCAGTTTTGCGCTGGATGCAAAAAAGGGACGACTTGCACAGATATGGCGTGGTCGAAATCCCTGCTGCTGGACGTGTTGTGTTTCGCAGCTGTAAGTGGCCACTGTCACGCGTTCTGACTGCACCGCTCCCGCTGCTCCTCCTAAGTAGGATGACGACGACTGCTATTGCTATACATACTATGTATGTATATACATCCCTAATTATCAAGGCCCCAATATGAAATGACAGTAGCGTATGCTGAGGTCTTCGCAGATTGAGGAGCTGACACAGCAGATCAAGTCGCAACCCGACTGCTCAAGATAGGGGCCTTAGTAATTAGAATAGGGTTTTGGGGCCCATTATACTATAGTTACAAAAAGGACCCCGCCCCCCCCAAAAAAAAAGAAAAAACATGGATGTGTAATTATTAAGGCTCCTATATCATATCGAGCCACTTTTGGAGGGGTTTACCAGAGAGGCCACGGGTCGGCACCTGCCATGTGCGAAGGGGTCCGAGATTCGAAGGGCTGCATGGGTGGGATCAAGATAGGTCAAGATAGGTGGTGTCATCCCAAATAAGAGTCTTAAGATAAGTATCAGGAATCCGTAACTGTACCTGCCTTCCTCCTACCTTTCGAGGCATCCAAGAGATTCGGTTCGGGACTAAGTTTTACGGTTGATGACATAAATCCTGCATCACCCACAATAAGGAATATAACATAATTACCATACCTTAGGGTCCTTAAGGTAATGCAGGATTTATATCATCGACCGTATCACCGGCGAGGAAGCCAAAGTCCGGTGGCTTCTTGAAGGTCAAAGGTTGGATACTGTCCCGGCTCAGCAACAGTTGGGTCATAAATTATGATCCTTCATGATTATGGTTCCTCATGATTATGATTCATAATCATGAACTACATAGAGAAGGCCAACTAATTGTAATGGCATCAAAATCATTTGCGAGGATGCAGGTGAATCACGCAACTAAGACCAGCCCATTTGCTTTTAACAAACCTGCGAGCCAGAGGCAGTCTTCGCAGATCACTGCAGCAGAGCAGCAGGCTAGGCTTCGGGGTTTCGGGTCTGTGATGCTTAAGGGGTTTAGGGGTTATGGGCTGGGTAGTACCAGGGCCATTGCTGCTAAATCTTCCGCGGTACAGCTAGATTCGAAGATCATTTGTCCTGATATGGCCTCGGCCCTTGGGGTTTTAAGCTTTTTCTAGGTCTTAGACATGATTAAGGCACGACATCAGCTCTCATCATTGTTGACCCGGAGCCCCTAAACTCCAAACTTCCCAAAGCCCTAAATGGAAGGACCCTAAACCGGGCGACCTCCTTGCTAGGGGAGAAAGCAGTGCGACCATGCCGTCCCAGATCGATGTTGTCCTCCACCGCCACATCCTGTTGTGTGCACACGTGCTGGTCGGCATTAGGGTTACTAAGCCCGCCCTAGCAAGCGACCGAACTGACATGGATTCCAGCAAGAACTCGTTCTTACCTACAACTTACAGAGCTGTTGCAACTATTCAGAACCCTCCAAGCACCTGCTGGGTGGGTACTTGCCATAAACTTCCTTGGCACAGCCGGTGGGGATCCCTTTATAATCCTGCCAACTAGAGCCTTTCGGTGCGGCCGTGTCGCGCGGTGGCCTACATGGGCTTAGGGTTTGGGAGTTAGGGGTTTAAAAGTTCAGGGGTCTGGGGTGAGGGGCTTAAAGGGATAAGGTTCCGTGAGTGGTCCTTTCTTGCATGGTCGGGTGCGAGGAAAACTGACGATCAAACCTCTCCCCCAAACCCCTCCGGTCAAAAAAGTGCTATGACAGTTACGACGGATCCCGCCATTTTTCAGGCCCCTGAAGAAACAAGGTTTACGAGCCAGGGGCCTGCAAGAGCTGTCATAGCTTTGCCGGCGCTGATGATTTTCTGTTTTTGCTTATGTTGTTGGTAGTTTTATCGTTGCACCGCTCGCATACAACCATTTCGTGCCTTGCTGTTTCGACACTCGAGGCTTCTCATCTATACCTATACTACAATAACCTGACATACTGGTAGGGCCTTCATGTACACCTTTAACATAGAGCCCTATAAGCCCTAACCTCACACCCCAAGCCCTCTCATGAGGCCTTCGAGTGCCAGGGCCAAGAAATTCTAAGCCCGAAACCTTTTGCCTGGCTTGTCCGAGATGTGAGAGAGTAAACCTTCAGCCCTCAGCCCTAAACTCCCACAAAGAAACAATCGTACCTGCAAAACCCTAAACCCGAAACCCTAGCGGAGTGGGAAAGGGGTCATTGCACTTAAAAAAAAAAACCCTAGGGTTTCGGCGAGGCCCATGATCTGCAGGAGAAACTCACGAAGCTGCAGCGGAAGACCGCCAGAGCAGCTGCAGGGTTTCGGGGTTGTAGGATTTTGGGTTTATGGTGTAGGGTTAGGGCTAGGGTATTTAGGGCTTTAGGGTTTAGGGGTTTAAGATTTAAGGGTTTTGTGGAAAGTGTTATGGTGTGGGGTTAGCGTGCTTTGGGTTTATATGGTGTAGGGTTAGGGTGTTTTAGAGAAGGTCATGGGTCATGCTTCATTTTTGATTTCTATGGCGCAAACCTACAGGGCCAAATGCGCAGAAACACATGCTATCTTGGATCCAGATGGCTTGGAAGATCCTGGAGGCTTCAGGGGGGAGATGGACACAGACAGCCCAGAGCTTCAACCGCACTCTCACAATTGAGGCCACGATTTTGGTCGAGTTTCTTCTCTACCGACGGAGGTTGCGTCCGCCCGCTTCCTTGATCTGGGGAGTTGGGAGGCTATGGATAAGCCTCAGTGGGCGGGCGGCAGTGGCGCTGACTTCGAGGGCTCCAGATCAATAGTTTTCATCTTCTCTGAAGGTGGACGACGAGACGCAAGTTTAGGAATCTAGGAACCCTACACACCAGGAGATACAAGTTGATACTTGCACTTGCTAGACACGACTATGTCAGTGAAAGTCTTTTGCAAGGGGCGCAGTGTACACGATTGATTGCCAATACAGTTTTTTGTTGACAGCTCACAGTGTGTGCCGAAGTTGCCTCTGCCGGAAGTTGGCAGCCGCCAGCCTTGTCCTGACAGGCTTCCTTTGCATGGGATGTTCGGTCAATGCTGTTGCCAGACTCGGGATCATCATCATCATCATCTGCACTTCCACCAACCTCTGTGCCAGGGATCTCGTGCGGAGCAAACACATGAAACTAACTAGGCAACGTAAGTCACCCTTTCACGGTTTTCTTATATAATAGCCCCACACCGTGAAAACGCCGTGTAGGACCTCGGAAGTTGTTGCTTCCCCTAAAACGAACACTCTATACACCCTTTCACAAAAATGCATAAAACGCCGACTCTAGCTAATTACCCTAGACCCCTTGCAGCAGCCGTTCTAGGGTAGTTCCTGGAGTTACCTTTATAGGATCCGAGTTACATATTTGGTTAAACCAAAAAATGAAATAACAATGGAGACTAATTTGGGGCCCTATACTACTAAGGGTACTTATAGGAACATCCTCCCGGGGGTCTGGGTAGCCACTATACGGTTGATGATTTACATCCTGCATTACCCAAACCGGGGGGGGTTTAGGATTCAGGGCTTGAGAGCTTTAGGGTTTTAGGGCTTAGGGGTTTAGGTTTTATAGGTTTAGGGTATAGGGTTTATGGGTTTAGGGTTTAGGGTTTATGGGTTTAGGGTTTAGAGTTTCCTCGGAACCGTAGGGTCTCTTGGGAGCCCCCGCTGAAAAGCGTGCGAAGCGCAGGAGCTCTGGGGACCAGGAGACGGCGGAACGCAACATCCGGGAGCCTCGCCGTTTAATTCCCAAAGGCTCCATGTACGATTATAGTAGATTACTAGGGTTCCTTTAAGGGCTTCTACAAGGGTTCTATAAAGTTTTAGGGTATTAAGGGTCCATGATAGCTTTATGACAGATACTTAAGCCTTAAAGGGGTATTGGCACTTTAAGCCCTAAGCATATAGTAGAAGCCAGAAAGTTGGAACATGACTTTAGGAGGATTAGTGCTAGGATCCCTTATACTTTACCTTAAGGGCATGAGGCCAATGATGTTCCAACTTTCCGGCTTCTACTGTATAGTATATGGGCACATGGAGCCTTATAGGGCCTGTCAGGGTATACGGGTTCTATGGCGTGTATTGGTTTGGGGTGGTTGCTGAATGTTTCGGGCAGAGGCTTGACGGTTTAGGAATTGCAGATTTCTGGGATTTGCGGAAAGTCAACGCAAAGCATAGCACAATGAAATAGATAATCCAGAGGGAACAAACGAGCAACAACGATAGCAAGCGAGTGCGAAACAAAACAATTTCAAAGGTCTTGTGAAAACGCAAAACCATTCTCTTCGCACAACAAAGAAATCCAAGGACCTGGAGGCGCAGGTCCAGCGCTCGCACCAGCGTGCGGCGAGCTTCGAGCGCGAGGCGACCAATGGAATTGCCTGGGATTTAGGGTTCTTGGGCTCTTGGGGTTTGTTTGAAGCCCATGAATCCTACAATAGGGGCTTAAATAATCATCTATACAATTTGTTTGGGGGGTTCTTATTTTGATTATAGTATAGTGGGCACCAAGACCCTATATTCTAATCAGTAAGGCCCCTAATTAGACTACGCTGCACAGCCTGAACCCCAAGCGTCCAGACCTCATGTAGCCGCGCCTGCTCTGTGCGAGTGTGCGAGTCGAAGCGTCCCAAGCCCCAAACTCCAACCGCAATGTTTAACATGACGTCGCGTGCCACGGAGTACAAATGGCACGTTGTAGACATAAGCTCGAAGCTATAGCCATTGTAGTCTGTGGTTGTATACTCGCAGCCTTCTTGAAGGTTTAGGGGCAGTCGTGAGTTTCCAACAGGCATTAACCCAAGCCAACACAGACACACACACACACACACACACACACACACACACACACACACACACACACACACACACACACACACACACACACACACACACACACACACACACACACACACACACACACACACACACACACACACACACATTTTTTCATTCGTAGCGACAGAGTCTGTCTAAGACGCACGCCTAGCAAACGAATTCGACTTACAACAAACAAGGTGAAACAGGGCAAAGGGAAGCCTCAAAGGCTGCGGAGACCGTGCTCGTCACACTGGAAGCCCAAATCCAAGGCCCAGGACTGGAGGATCGGCAAGGGAGTCCAAAGTCCAGGGCAATCAATCTGAACTGGGCGGCTGCGGGCAAGGTCGGCCCCTTCAGCAAACAGGCGACAAGCGGCTTCGGTCCATTCCAGCAGGCCTTGGGCTTGACGTAACGGGACACTGGTAGGACAGTCAAGGTCAAAGACAATCCTGGGAGGGCTTTGCAACTCTCTGGTCCAGACTTCCCCAGAACACACCAACGGGAGAGCGCCAAGTCTCTTCCACACAGGAGCTTCATAAGGATTGCTATCAACTTCGGCTTTTACGTCAGGAAAGATTTCCGCTGTAACATGAGGATCCAGCAAAAGGAGCAGGTTCTCGGCAATGTCTGCCGAGAGAGAGGTCCCCTTCTGCTCCTGCCAAGCCGACACAGTAGCTCGTAGTACAGAGAGTGGGGCAATACACTCACTCACCAGCGTCCACAGCACATGTTCATCAGTTTCCGCCGTGAGCATCTGGGATAGCAGCGTATCATCCAACAGGGAGGCCTCCTTCTCTGGGAAGGCAACATCCAGGGATCCGGGCACCACACGGGGAGGAGCTTGCGAGTGTTCTGGAGCACCACCCTCGTCGGATGCGGGAGTGAAGGCTCCCCATCTAGCAACACAGGAGGGGACAGTGATAAGATGCCGGCGAAGTCGGCCCTGGTTGGCAAACCTTTTACCACATGCTAGGCAAATATTCCCACATCCTGTTCGGTAAGCTGCCGATCTGTAGTCGTGCATTCTTGCTGAGTGCCCAGCCCAAGCTTTCCTGCTGAGGAACGCCCTCTTGCAGGGAATGCACATCTCGACAAAAGTCGGTGAGGCGGAAAATTCAACGCTTGCTGCACTGTGTTGAGGTCCGACAAGGCTGATGAGACCCCGGTAGAGTCCGTCAAGGGCAGCAACAAGAGACACCCTTACTTGATCCAACGCACAGGCACGCTTGACAAACCCCTTGAAAAGGCCCGGCCTTTGGTGCACTAACTGGGACCAACCATCCCAGTTCTCACGTGGATTGCGAACTTGGCTGGTCTGCCACAGCCACGCGTGGAGCCAATCAAGATCAGCTAACATCAAGTCAGCGTAGGGGCGGTCCGCTTTCACGACGGCCCATAGGGCGTCAGGAGCAGAGCTGATCAGCTGGCGTAAGTACAGAAGTCTGGCTTTTCGTAACAAGACAGCTGGTGTGGGAAGACATGTCAACGCACAGCACATGGACCCGGTCAGTCGCTGGTCACCGACTCGGGGAATGCACAGGATGGCCCTGTAAAAGGACCATACCGTTGAGTCAATGGACTGTCTTTCACGCACAAGGAGCGGTGGCCACGCACCCGCTCCGTGGAGAAGCTTGGCGATGACCGTGGCTGACAGTATATGCCCTTTCCTTTTAACAGAGATGCCTCGGTTCTTAAAGATCTTCCGGCGACCTTCTTCGAAAGCTCCACGTGCCTGGGCAACCCTGTGGGAAATCTCCGGTCCGATGCATCCAAGAGGTGCTTGGACAACCCCTAGATGGGTGTATGCTGACACAAGCGGAAGCGTGGCTGGAGGGCCGTGCTCTCGCAGGACCGAAATAGACCCATCTCCTTGGTCGGAAGAGAACAGTGCCCTCTTGACAGCGCGAGAGTGCGCCCCTCTGACAGAGGCTACCGCAGCAGTCTTGTGAGCCCCGTAAGAAAGGCTAAGTCCATGTGCACTGAGCGCATCAGCAAGCGCGCCCGTTTCACTGGCAATCGCATGGCGAGTGTGTGACGGGCAGGCACATATACGGGGGATAGCAACATCATCAGCCCAAATGACGTCAGACATCTGAATGCTAGTGGTGACCCCATCAGGACAAGCAGCCAAACTGCGACACACACACACACACACACACACACACGCACACACACACACACACACACAAACTGCCCAGGAACTTTAAATTTGGCAGGGCCTACCCGTAGGGTCAACCGTTGTTCCCAGTTTTGACTTTCGCAAGCCTTTGTTGCTGGTTTCCGGGTGTAGGACTGAGTCTTTTCAGAACGCATTCACCCAGTCCCCCAAGCCTAAACCCGAAACCCATCGGCTCTTATGTAGGAAGACGAAGCCCACCACTAACCTTTGAACCCAGACCAACAACCCTTCCTATAGATCCCTTTAAAGAACCCTTCAAGGACCCGTTTAAGAACCCTCCCTCCCTATAGATCCCTTTAAAGAACCCTTCAAGGACCCTTTTAAGAACCCTTCCTATAGATCCCTTTAAAGAACCCTTTTAGGGAACCCTTCCTATAGATCCCTTTAAAGAACCCTTCAAGGACCCTTTTGGGAACCCTTCCTATAGATCCCTTTAAAGAACCCTTTAAGGACCCTTTAAAGAACCCTTCCTGTCGGCATTCGGCAGGTGAAGGAGTGGCGGGAGGAGGCCGAGTCCCAGCGGTCCCTTGGCGCAGACGGGGCTTGGGGTGGAGAGTGTACTATAGGGGCCTGTGCCAATATTCTTCCTAGGGTTCCTTATTATTAGGGTTTGCGGTTTGTTTCATTAGGGCTTAGGGTTTATTCAAGGTTTTTTGGTCTGCGATAGGGGCCTTAATAATCACCTATACTATGTGTATTTGTTATTTTGCGGGGGTTCCTGCTTATAATTACAGAATAATGGGCACCAAACCTTATTCTAATTGTTAAGGCCCATATATTAGGGTTCAGTTAGGGCTGGTAATGCAGGGCATCTCTAGGTCGTCGGATTACAAAACCTTCGAAAAGAGACCATGACAGTGGCCTCTAATTAGAATCACAAAAGATTTTGAGGCTTGAGGGAACAGGGTTGTCGCAAGGGGGAAGGCTTACCAGTGTTTAACAAGCCTCAGGCGCACAGGAGTTAGCAGGGGAGTGTCCGGGCAGGTGATGTTAGGTGTTAACAGTTAATAAGAACCCACAGAACCAAAGCCCCAAACCCCAAATGCCCGCCCTTTAAAGCCTAAGCCTAAGCCTTAAGCCCTACATACAGCCAAAGCACACGTTTTGTACACGAGCTCCCTATACTCGCACTAAACTGAACCCTAGACCGAAGCCATGCCTTAATCCTTAAACCCTGCAATGCGGGCTTCGTCCTTGCTAGGTAGGAGGGAAAGAAAGCCGTGTGAGTCGCAACCATGGACCGATTGGGGGCTCCTTTCTGGTGATCTCTGAGCACCCCTATACCCCAAGCCTTACAGGCAAAACAGCTCTAAATGCATTTAGGATAGTGTTTCTCGGGGCGCTCTATTGCAGCTGTACTATAAAGCACACCAGCACCCTAGGACCCTAGTCAAGTCAATCATGTCCTTATATCATAGAACCTTTATAGAAGCCCTTCCCAAAAGGATCCAAATATCATTCTCGTATATACTTATAGGGTATTTTAAGGATCTAAGTATATACCATAATGTCACTTGGAACCCTTGGGTTTCGCGAACCCTTAACCAGCTAAGGGCTCCTTTAAGTGACGCAGGACCGCCTCGAGCGCCCAGCCGAAGGAGGCGGACGACCTGCGCGCGGCCCTGGCGCTTGGGCAGAGATGGCCTCTTTCAGGGTTTAGGGTTTGGAGGATTTGTTGGGGTTCCGGGATTTATCGGGTTCTACTTGAGGGTCCTAGAAGGATCTAGGGCCGACTTGGGGTTGTAGGGCTTATGGGGTTTGGGGTTACGAGCTTTGGGGTTTGGGGTCTTAGTTGGGGTTTAACGGCTTTGGGCTTCGGTGTTTACGGTTCAGGGCTTGGGGGGTTGGAGTTTAGGGCGGATGGTTTAGAGTTTAGGGATGCTGACTGAGAGAGGTATGCTCCATGTTCCGCTGGGGTTTACCTGAGCAGAGATGACCGTTTTCGTAGGGTCGTAGGGTTCAGGGATGTTCAGGTGTTTGGGGCTTTAGGGCAGAGGGAGGTGACCGCTCAGTAGCGTTGAGAGTAGACTTACAGTTGGTTTAGGATGTGTCTGAGGTTTAGCATTTAGGGCTTGGGGGTTTTGGGTTTAAAGGGTTATGACGGGGCACGAGAGGGATGTTCTACGATGTTCTATAAAGGTTTTCATCGGGGTTCGGGAGGGTTCGGTAATGAGGATTTGAGGTTGTATGGGGCTTGAACCCAAAGCCTCCGAACCGTATCTCCGAAGCCGGATCCATTTCGTCAAGGATCGGGTTAAGGCCAGATTTGAGTTTCCGGTAGCCTGGCCTGGGGGCTCAGGGTTAGGGCTTAGGGCTAAGCGTGTCTTGTCGGTCAGAGATGTCCAGGCCCCAAAAATGATCCCCCAGAAGTTCTTAAACCTGACACCCAAAGCCCAGGGTGCCCAAATCGAACGTCCTCGTTCCACTATGGGCTATGAGACCTGATGGGTACCTTAATCTACCCTTAATAGGGTCCTAATAGGGATCTTTAGGGCCTAATAGCCATTAGCCCATAGTGGTTCCCAGACCCTGCATCAGAACTGGGGGCCCTGGAGTCGAAATTCTGAACTTTCAACCCCAAACCCTGAACCTTAGACCGTGATGACCATCCTAACCTTGAAGAGGGCGAATCTCAGAGACTCTAAGCCAGGATCCACTAATTATGGAGTATGCCTTAAATCGTAGTATATTGGGAATCCTACTATAATTTGAGGTAGATTCCTTATTTTAAGTAGAATTGGAGTCTCTGGGATATGCAGCTCAGGATGTGTCGAAAGCGAAGATTCGCGAGCTGGAGATGGACTTGTACCAGCAGCGCACGGACCTGAGATGGGTTCGAGGGTTGTCTCAGCTGGTTTAGGGTTTAGGTTTTTCTCTATAGCCCCCTTAGGAACTATCGTTGTATTTTTGTTCATATAAAACCCAAGATAATAGTACACATATGATTTTTCATTATGGTTCTAAGGGGGGTACAGTTCTCAACTAATTTAGGATTTCTAAGCAGCGCCTGCAAAGGCTGGCGAGCTTTGCGAGGGTTTCTGAGGATTCAGGCGGTTGCCGGAGTCGAACCCCTTGTTGTTTCGTTTTCTGGGTTGTCCTTTGGGATCTTGTTTTATTTCCCCCTACTATTTTGTAGAGAACCATACTAGTAAATAATTTCCAAAGGGCTTAAAGGATAACTCAGTTTTTGTTCGGAAATGCAGCAACGCTGAACCCTAAGCTTCATTACGCCTCAACCCCTAAAACCCTAAAGCTCTAAAGCCCTGAATCCTAAACCCCCCCCCGGTGCCTTGAGGCGCGAAGGCCGAGGATGCAGACAGGCCAGGCCGAGTACTTAAGGCTTACCCATAGGCTCCGTGGTAGTGCCTTTTTGAGGGTTAACACGGTTGATGATATAAATCCTGCATTACCCCAAGGACCCTAAACTATGGGATTTATGGTATATTCCTTATTATGGGTAATGCAGGATTTATATCATCAACCGTATTTAGACTTCTATAAGGTAATCCCAAAGAGGAACTACCATGGAGCCTATGGGTACAGAAACCCCCCAAAGCAGGCAAAACAATGGCCCAATACCAAAAAGAGGCTTTTATTCCACGTGCTTTTGTTTGGGCCATGTCGAGATGAAGGGCTTGGGGGTTCTAAGGTTTTGGATGAAGGGCTTCGGGTTTTAGGGGCCAAACGAGATCAGCTCAAAGTTCTAGTGTTCTACATACTTTGGGTGCGCGGGTACTGCCTCCTACTTATATCTGCTTTTATTAAAACGAGCTAGAGTCGTTTTCATGTTTACTTTTATCATACAGGCCCACCAGGTTGTTTGTAATGTCGTCTATAGCTATAATGGGGATTCTTGTTTCACGAGGTACTGATTTCGCATAATTGCCGACCGCATGTGGACTTATCACATGGGGTTGCTTGAAGACACGAGACTTCTCAGCCATGTGTATTATGTAACCTAGATAGTGGTACTGCCAATGCAAGGACGCCGAATCCTGCACCGAATTTAGACTGCTCTTGGCGGTAAGTCTTCACACCAAACTAGTAGTACGGGATAGGGGATCGGCTGACTTGGAAGCATATTTTCAAGTCTGCTTACTAAATGTAGTTTAGCCGCTTTAGCCTGCAGGAACCGGCTACCTGAATGGCCCAGATCCATTGGTATGAACCCGGACCCTGTTACAATGTATGTACACTTAGCCTAAAGCTAAACGTGTGTACACAGTAAACCTAGCTTGCTTGCTATACGTCCTCAACGTTCAACGTGTCTATCAAACCACGCTGCTGTCAGGGCCTGCAGAGCACAGCGCCTTGAAGCCGACAAGCAGCGCATCAGCGCTGAAACATGCTGCTTGCTGAACACTTCGGAGAGATTTCGGGCTGAGGTTTGGATGGTTTGGGATGAAGGAGGTCAGAATACAAGCCGCAAAATTTGCCAATATTGTTCCTCTGGGCTGCTTCTTGTAAGCCTAGGACAACATACCGCCAGAGCCCCTTTGTCTACTCGAGCTTGCAGCTTTTTGTTGGTTTTTTTGGGCTGGATGTGTACTGTTTCAAAACACCCGCCTAAAGGTTAGGGGTTAGGTACTGCCCCCCATACAGCAAGAGTCTATAATAGAGCTACTATCAAGCTATATATATCTCTATATATATATATATATATAATTCAACTCCTACTGAGTGGGGGCCGTACCCAAGTAGGCTTTGGGGTCTGCCATGAGGGACTCCGGGCATCGAGTGCCAAAGGGTTGCCTTGTTTGGGGCAGTAAGTACCTAGAGGCTCCATAGAAGTTCCTTTTGGGGGTTCATATTTAGAATCCTATAAGGTAATTCCAAAAAGGAACTACTATGTTGGTAAGCATCTCACTGAGTACAACATACTGTACAAATTACAGTTCTGCGTGTGGTGGGTGAATCATCCCAGCAGAAGATTCGTTGCATGCAGCCTTATCTGCCTCACCTATATCCACCCAGGAATCTTCAAGTAGATACTTCCGGCTGTCGCGGGGTTCAATAACAGTTCTATGTGTCGGAAAACGTCATGATGGGTTCTTTTTGGTTGCTTCCTGTGTGTTTCCGAAGTGCGTGCGCTTTCGTTTGGTCGTACGCATGGTTTCCGATTCGCGACGGTCTGCCTGGATTCTGGAGCTGGCCCCGCAGCGTTATCTATGTATGTTTACCGGGCCGGTATGCAACTCTTACAACCCTCCCTCTAAACCACCCCCTATAGAAAACCCTACAAGAGGCCTTTGTGATCTGAGCCTTCTCCCCAAGTGAGTCGTAAGCCCCGAAACCATGGCCCTGCAGCTGAAGCCTTCGGCCCCAAATCCTAGAACATCAATCCTAAAGCCAGAGTCCCAACCCCGCAAATCTTACATCCTAAACCCTCATAAACCTTCATCCTTTAAATGCTAAGTGCAAATGCTACTCTCTCAATCCTAACCCCCTGGTCACCCGCAAATGCCGAAAGCTTAACTCCAGACCCTGAAGCCCCTAACCCTGAGTTTCCTGTTAATGTACGTAGTCTCACGCACCGGGCCTCGAAGCATATGCCTGGCCTGGAGTGTGCGAGTGTGAGCGCCGAAAGCTCAACCGTAGCGTGAATGTAACTATAAACCCTAACCCCTACCTTAACCCCACATAATCTACCTTAATTAAGGACTTCTATAAAGAAATCATATTAGGGAGCCCTAAAAAGGTAGGTTCTTCAGGGTCCAGGCAAACCAAGAACATCCCTGAACCCTCGGTCCCAGGCTGGAAGGCGTATCACGAGAAGAAGCAGGAGCTGGAGACGGAGATCCGAAACCGGTGGCCCAAGCCGGAGGCGGGTTTCCAGGAATTCCATTCATAAGTCTTATATAAAAGGGTTTAAGGTTGAAGGGATTTTTCCAGGAGTTCTGTCAAAAAAGCTAAAAAGGGTTTACGCTTCCCTTAGCCAAAGCCCGTGCTGAAAAAGGGTCTTAGGGAGTCTACCAGGGAGTTTGCAAGAGTCCTAGAAGTCCAAAGGGTCCAAAGCACCTCTATAGTAGAATGTGGGGTTTCTATATCAGGAACTACTATTATGATTTGGGGAAGTATCCTCCACACTTTGGGGAAGGGGTTCTACAAGAATTTCGCTCAGGGTTCTTGAGCTTTTTCGCCGACCTGCTTAGTTTGTTTCGGTGATATAAGGTTAGGAAGTCGAAGTATCAGGTAACTTGTCCCAAAGCTCGTGAGGCTTCAGGTTATCCAGAATCTAGCGCATTACGGAGGTTTCAGAAAACTTTAACCGAAGTTCTTCCCTAGTAAGGACCATTTTCGTCATCTGGTTTCGGTTCTAGGTACGTATGGCTGGAGGGACAGATGCATGGATGGATAATTAATTAGATAGACAGGTAACCTGACAGACAATAGTCAGAGAATGGGAAGACAGAGAGGTATATAGAGAGAGAGAGAGAGTGTGTGTGTGTGAGAGAGTCACGAAGAGTATTGGCAGACACCACGACCTCTGTGAGCTGCGATGGGGGGGGGGGCTTTCCACACGCCATCTGAAGCCTAAACCTTACTCCGGATGTGCTGCCGAGCTTGGGATTGGCTGGGGATATGGGGTTCAGGAGGGCTGGGATTTGGGGCCTGGCCTTTAGTTCGGAGAGTAGAAGGATCAGGATTGCAGATCTCGATCCCCATTTGTGTGAGCGCCCATGCCAAACGCCGACTCTAACTTTCTGAGAACTCGCTCGAAGGAGCGCATGGATACTAATCAGCGGGGCTAGCGGTTAGCGAGGACAAGCTTTGCTTTAAGGAACTATGACCCCGTCTCCATTTTCCGTTTTCATAACTCTCGCAGAAGTACCACAGGATGGCATTAACAACCCCAGGCACCCTAAACCCTGTAATTAACCCCTAAATCCTCAACTCCTAAACTTCTAAACCCCATATAGGTCTTCCCACCTCGGTGGAGGCAAAGACTGAGCCCTCAGAACCACCCTTTGCCCCCAAGTGCAATGACTTCCCTAAACACTAAGCCACTAAGCTCTAAACTCAAAACCCTTTAATCCCAAGCAGACCCCAAATCCTTACTATAGAACCCTTATAGACCCCTCGGAATCAAGCCTGATAGAAGCCTTATAGAAGCCTACAAAACCCGATATCTCCAAGTACAATGAAACCCTGAAGGGGGCTTATGACAATGATCCGCATAGAACCCTATAAACCAACCCTTGTAGAACCCTCTAAATCCCCCTATAACTCCAAGTACAGTATAACCCGAAGTAGGCCCTAAATCCTTACAGTGCCGGTAAAGAACCCTATAAATCAATCCCCCTACAAGCCCGCGTACAACATAACCTCAAGTAGGCCCTAAATCCTTATAGGACCCTAATATAACCTTATAAATCCAAAAGTATGCCCTGAATCCCTATAGGACCCTACTAAACCGCATAATTCCCCCTAGAACCCCAAGCACAAGAGTAGCCCTTATAGAACCCTCTAACGCAACCCTGATAGAAAGCTTCTTTCACTTGGCTTTCCTGGGACGAACTAGTGGTTGGGGGCTCTATCTTTGTGGGTCGTAGGAGGACGGTCGCTCGCAGAGACAGTCTGCTGTCAGTATGATGTTAGCCTTATGGTTGATACTTGTCGGTGGCTTACGCACACATTGTATCTGACAGCCAGACACAGTCGATGAGACCAATCTACTGTGGTAGTTAACGCATTTGGTCCAGTATCGCTGCAGACCTTGCCAGGCCTTGTCCGAGTGTAAGTGTTAAAAAAGCCGCTAAACCCTGATAGAACCCTAAACCCCTAAACTTCCTGCCCAAAGAGGCCTTAACTCCTTATAACCTTAAACCCTAAACCCCCTAAATCCCAATGAAACCCCCCTATATCCCGAAGTCTTATAGCCCCAAACCCTAAACTCCTAAACCTTGAACCCTTCTAGGACCCTGATTGAACCCCTTCAAATCAACGGTAACCCCCACAAAGAGAGGCCCTGGAGGCGAAATGTAGCGACCTCGAGGAGACGCAGCCCAGCTGCACCAAAGCACCGACTTCAAAGGGGTTGAGGGTTTAGGGTTCAGGGCTTTTTGGGGCCGCAAAACTAAGATGAAGGACGATGGGGGTAATCCTAAGGAGCCGTCCCTATATCAGTAGTAGTAATCGTGATAATATGTGTTAACATATATATATATATATGTATATATATATATACACATCTTATAGCGAGTAAGGGGTTCATGCTCCTACCTGGCTTCATCCCACTTTTTGAGGCCTCCGACAGCCGAAGCAGCAGTGGCTCCTGCCTTCTCGCTCACATTTCCTTACCGGTTCCTTCAGGAGTTTCCTTGAGATCATTTTTTTTGCTTTTTTTTTGAGGGTGGAGGGGCTAGTATTGAGTCTTTTACTGTTACGAGGGGGCTTAGTGGACTCTAGGGGTGAGCATGCCTCGGGGTGTGAGACGTTGTATTAGGTTCCCAAAGGGTCCAAAGTGTGCCTAAAAAGTAGAATGTAGGGTTTGGATATTAGGAAAGACTATCATGATTTAGGGAAGTATTCCCCGCAACAGTACCTAGGGCCCTTTGGAGTTGCAGCTCATATCATCGTCTTACCGTGTTTCCTCTATTGCATGATCTATGGGCCGATGGTTTCCAAGGTTATTGGATTCTTGTTTAATCAATTTGATGGTCAGGATCTCAAGAGCTACTTAAAGCCAAAAGCAGGACTTGCAGCGGCGACTTCGTGTGCACCAGGGATAGACCAGGACCCTCCCCAGTACCCTTCGAAGGCGTCTCCCTTCACAGGGGTCTCGTATTCCTGACTAAAAGGTGGTTATGGCCTACAATACAGGGTAGTTCGGCGGCCAAGGCCCAGGAAACCCCATAATTTGTCGGGCTCATTTCGGTCGTTTGATCCGCGAGGTGCTCCTTTGGAGCCATACTTTGTTTCTCAATATGGCATAGAACCCTATGGGAGTACGGTATTTAGAGGCTAGCTAGTTACCACCCAGATGCTGCTTTAGATATGAAGGCCCCTATTATTACGCGTGTATTACGAGTCTTCAGGGGTGTATAGACTTCTAGCAGAGCCGGCGGGTCGCAGAGGATTCTCCGCTTGCAGAAGACCCACTGCCAGGCCTCCGGGGGAACTCTCGGGCTTGAGATTTCGGACCTGAGAGGAATTCGAACTTATCCTAGAGGCTTTCAGAGTTTCGGGCGTGTTGGTTCAAGAAATATTAATATGGAGTTTAGAAGCTGTATGTGAGGGTTAAATAAGGGTCCAGGGTTTTGTGGATCGCTGAGGCCAAGCAGACGAAGCGGGAATCGAGACATCAAGCCCTAAAAGCATGCTTCGCTATGTTTTCACGTCGGCTCCATGTGTCAGGTCGCTGGGACAATTCGTTTCCAGGTGGTCGCACACGTCCATGAGGTAGCCAAGGAAACTCCAAAGCCTGTCACAGTATCTCTGCGCCGACTCATGTAGGTCAGTCCTGTGCAGCGTTCTCGCGTCCGGATATCCTCTCCGCAGCCACACGTTATGCTGGTGTCATGTTAAAGGGCCTTTGCACATGTCTAGACCTTCCGCTTTGGCACTGCAAGCTCGTACAAGAGCCATGGACTTTCTTGGGTTTCTTTTGTTAGAACAGGCATGGAAAAAGCGCAGCCCTTCAACCTTCAGCCTGCGAGGAACTCGAGAAGTCCTCTAAAGTTGCGGACGACCGCGTGGCAGGCGAGATCATAACACTGCGCGTGTCCAGAGGCTCCATAGTAAGGCATAGTAGTTCCTTTTTAGGGTTCCTACTCAGAATCCCATAAAATAATCCCAAAGGGAACTACTATGGAGCCTATGGGTATCATATATTCACAACAACTTCGCGACGCCTGCTCAAAGGGTTTTTAAGGTGTTGTGGGGCTTTGTGTATAGACGGTGGGCAAGGGTCTGCTACGTAGCTGCGTAAGCAACCTGTAACCCTGGGCTTATACATGGTACCGGTGTCATACAGCACATGTTAAGGTTTGTGAGGCATGGCGCTGTCCCAGCTTTCAGGGGTTTCAGGTGCTGAAATCCTTGCATTTATCTTGGTGCCTTCATGAGAGTCTCTTGACCCGGTGGCTGCTACTGCTACTGCTACTGCTGCTATTGCTGCTGCCGCTGCTGCTGCTACTGCTACTGCTACTGCTACTGCTTCTGCTTCTGCTGCTCCTGCTCCTGCTCCGGCTACTGCTACGGCTACTGCTACTGCTACTCACTGCTACTGCTGCTGCTGCTGCTGCTGCTGCTCCTGCTGCTCCTGCGGCTGCTGCTTCTGCTGCGACTGCTGCTGTTGCCATTACTACCTATTCTCCCACTTCTTGTGTTTCCTCCTTGAATACTGATATTACTACGACTATGAGCACTACAGCTGCTACGGCGAGGACGGCGGCGACGAGGAGTACCACCACCACCACCAACAACAACACCAACACCAACAATACTACCACCACTACCGCTGCTGCTGGTGCCGTCAGCTATTTTCATGTATGTCATGCTTTTAGACCCTTTCACATCAACTATAGCTCCAGTTATATATATATATATATATACATACATATATCTTGTACAAGCAGGCCTGCAGAAAGAGCTTCGATGTTCGCGCGAAGAGCGGAATGAGGCTGACGGCTTTGCATCGAAAGGGTCAGGGACGTTGTGCACGGGCTACAGTAGGGTTGTCAGCAGGTTGACCCAATTGCTCAGGCTTTCTACGACACTGCTTCCGTTATGCCACGTCCCCTGAGCTTCCAAGCCATTCCCTCGAATTCAGGGTTCCCTGCACAAGTCCCTTTGATTGATGAGCTTAGACACGTTGTGTGTGCTGTTTTCGACGGGGAACCTGTCTGGATGTGGCAGTTCAATTTGCAGAGATAGATTTGAAGCCTGTGCCGCTCAATGGTAGGTATGGAGCATAATACAAGGGTAGCTGGAGGGTTTCTTCACGTCCCCCTTATGATCCCGAGATTGAACCCTACAGAATAAGCACGAACCGCCATATATAGAGCCCTGAAAGTCCAATACACAATTCCGGGCTGTCCCTAAACCCTAAGAGCAGGCGAAGCTACAGTTGGAGCTGGAAGAGCGTCGATGGCCACCTGACCTGGTCCTGGAGTCAGGGCGTAGAAAAATGTAGGGCTTTTACCTTGTGTTTACCCTAAGGCTCCATAGTAGTTCCTTTTTGGGGTTCATAACCCCAAAAAAGAACTATACTATGGAGCCTCTGGGTATAGAGTGCATACAAGGTTTTGTAGGGCTTGTATACGGGCTCCAATAATCCTTAGTTAAGCTGTGGCACAGGCATCCCAAACCTGACTTGTTGAAGACTTGGCAATACTGCTGAAGGACAAAGTCCTTTACTATCCTTACGAAGCAACACACCATAGATATCACAGTTTGGGGTGCACAGGGCCATCCGGGTTTTCGTTTCTCAGCCGGTAGCTTACCTCAGGGTTGTCGAATATACAGTCTCACAGCTCTCGAGGTTGCTGTAGGCGTAGAGTAGAGTCCCCCTGTCAATCGGAGCAGTTACGTCTGCCACGGCTTAATGTAGAATGGTTTAGGGTTTAGGTTGTAGAAGATGCATAGTCCAGGTGTAAAAGGTTGTAGAAGATGCGGGGGAAAGGGGGTTCATGCTGTAACCGGGCTGCTGGACAAAGAGGCCTGCTGCAAAAACGTTGTAGAAGATCGTAGAAGCCGCAAGACTTACTGAGATTTTTTCTTCTACGGGTGAGCCGTATACCATACCCCAAAACTCCCTATCGGCTTGGGGATGCGCAGTTCTCAAAAGTCCAAGACTGCGATCGGTTTTCAGGATCGTGTAGTAAAGGGTCCCAAATAATTAGAATAGGGTTTGGAAGCGCATTGTGCTATAGCTATAATAATGAACCGCCAAAATAGTATTGGTAATTATTCGGGCCCCTAAAATAGATCTCGCAACGTGTTGAAGCCAACTCGCATCTCGGAAAGATGACACGAGAGCCCACAGTCTGGCATTTCAACATGGGAGTTTCCGAAATTTAGGGTACCTGATTTTGGGGCCCGAAGAAGAAAAAGGATCCTACTAGATAGGGTGCCGTATTAGGGCCCCCCCATTTTCGGCAACTCCCTGTGCCACTGTGTTTTTCTTTGGTCAGGACTAAGGACCCTGACAGCTTGCAGCCTAAGTACACGAAAGCCCCTGCACCTCAAACTCTGAGGATCCCCAACACCCCAGAACGAGCCCTGCTGGTATCTAAGCCGAACCCCGAAAACCTGTAGTTACCATAATAGGTACCAACAATAGGTACCTACAGTAAATAGTGTAGTTTCCTTTCATGGTAACTTAAACTCGATCCCTTCACGAGGACCCTTATAGAACCCTCAAAGGAACCTTTAAAGATCCCTTAAAGGAGCTCTTATAGCCGCCCTCTCAAGGAAGCTCGTCCTGGCAGTTCTGCAACAGGATGAGGTGGGCATCCGCGCTTTCGGTGCCTTAATGATTAGAATAGGGCTCCTTTAAAGGGCTCTATATAAGGGGTACTAGAAGGGCTCTAGGATATAGGGTCCTTAATTTTTACCTATAGTGTCTTGGGGTTGCCTTATTATGATTATAGCAAAATATACCCGCAAGCCCTATTCTAATTATTCAGACCCTATGTGACAGTGCCAGGAGGCATGAGGATAGTAGCACCTTGCAGTATCGACGACAGGCCAAAAATGTTGTCCTAGCAAACCGAGCTTTTGCAAGATAGGGCGAAGCCTTTTTGGCAATCACCATTGATTGAAGTTTGCGTGTTTAGGCCTGTCAAGGCGTGAATGCCTTCGTCTTCCATCCCGATCGGGTTAAAGAACGTTGAGGGTAGAGTCTATCTCGGCGTTTCAAGCACTGCACAAGCTCGCCTCGCCGTCAGGGCCTCCCCAGCGACGCGGTGACTTGGATCAATTAAGAGCCACTCAGAGCCGTAGAGGCGTAAACCCTATATAAACCCCTCAACCCTAAACCCTAAATCCTGGGCCCTAAACCCTAAACCCTCAGGGGCTTGAGCCTGCACTCGATACCATATCCTGTTCTGAGAGGCTACGGCGCCTTAGATTCTAACTGAGTTCTATCGAACTGGCCTGACGGGGCATACATGTCTTGTCCCCTGAAACCTCCCAAGACCTAAAACCCACACCGCAAAAGCGTATTTCGGGATTGGAATTATTCGTACTAGTAATATTGTGCCCTTATAATGTACTCCTTTTAAACTCCTTGTTTTCGGACATACCCGCACAAACCCTGTTCGCACTATAAAGGCTCCTACAATGGGCCCAAACAGCCAAGATCTCAATTCCGGAACCCTGAAAGCAAGCAAGTCGTGCAAAGGAGGTGGATGCCACCCGAGCGACAGATGTCGGATACCAGCTGAGCGCCACGATCTCAGCACTGATCGATGCATCATGATCATGTGGTCAGTGTTTGTGCGTTGTCCTTTTCCGCAAGTCTTATGCAGCGTTGCTACTATGGCTCTTGCAGGGTTATGTCTCTCATTCCTCGACCCTCCATCTACCCCCTTACTAGACCCTAAGTACCCTTCATTTGGGACCAGAAACCCCTATTTGAGGGTAGAAGGAGGGTCCGCGTTGCTACTACTGCTTCCAGTTTTGCCTGCGGCAGATGCAAAGCCCTGAGCACCCGTAAGCTACGGGTTGTATAGTATACAGTAATAGGACCCATAGTAGTTCCTCGTTGGGATTACCTTATAGGATTCTAAATATCAACCCCAAAAAGGAACTGCTAAGGAGCCTCTATATACGTACATAGGCGCGTTAGCTTTCCGTACACACTATGTTAAACCTGGAAATCACCCGTAAACCCTATCCTGAGCCCCCGCAGTCACCTGTGAACCCCAAACTGCAAAACCGTGAACTGACCCTAACCGTTAAGCCCTAACCCCAAGGGTACAACGGACCCATTAATTAGGTACTCGGTTTTAGGATAGTAGTTATGTCGGTTAGGATTTTGGAGAGTATATGGTTCTTGGACCCTTGGAGTAAGCCCCGAAGCCCTGACCTAAGCATGAACCCTAAACCCTAAGCCCTAAACCCCTGAACCATAAGCCCTAAACTCCTAAACCCCTAAACCCTGAATTTTTCCTCGACTTAGGCGGTTTCGGCACAGCTCCAGGGCCTCCGCGCTAGAAAAGCCGAGGCCGAGGCCCGGACAAAGGACAAACCTTAACAGCAAACATGGGGTTCCTTTAAGGGTGAAGCATGATAATTATCAGTTCCGCAAGATGGGGGATGAAAAGAGCAAGACACAGCCAACACAGGTTTCTTGTAAGTTTAGAAGCCATTTTTGTTTTTGGTGGTTTTCCAGAGCCTTAGCAGCTTAGCTGGTGTTCCTTTAAGGGTTAAGTAAAAGGGAGTGTCTTTATAAGTCGTCCCAAGGACTTCTTGTGAACTTAAGAGCTACCAAAAGGACCGCTTATATTAGGAGAGCCTTAAGGCCCATGGGTGCGTTTAAGGGTTACTACACGGCTTGCTATGACGTTCTGCAGTATACGGGCCTTCATAACGCGAGGGCAATAGTTATGAGTTATGCTGTAACTTTACGTTTAGGGAAATTAAAAGGATTAAAAGGAATACAGTTAGCAAGTATGCCGATCCTGATATTATGGTTGCTCTCGGGGTTCTTTGTTTGGTTTCTTTGGGGGGGTCTTTGAGGGCTTTAGGGTGTTGGAGTTCATAGATTTGGCTGCTGTGGTGCAGGGTTTAGGGGATTATTGGGCCCCAGGTTGAATCAAGCAACGAAGGAAACAAGTGATCAACTACGCACGGCTGAAGACTTCCATCCACCAACATTGCCTCAATGTCTCAGATGGCAGACTTCACTTTCCACAAAGCAGAGCACTTCTGCCGCTCTCGCCCTTAGCCGTTCGGGTGCCTCCCGATCTGTGTTTCCTGTGCTATGAAAGCCGATTCAACGCTGCGAAACGCCAAAAACCACAGGAGAAACTGCCAAAGGCCAAACAACACATGGACAACGCCAGAACAAGCTCGAGATCGAAATCTCTAGAACGTCAGGCTTCCAGTGTGACGATACCAGGATTGATCGAGCCACTGAGTTGTCCAAAGAAAGGAGACATGAGTTTCCTCTTCTCGCTGTCTGTGCCCAGAGAAGCAGACCACCTGTAGGGCTTCCTGGGTCGAAGTTAACAGTGTACAGTTGTTCTAGAGTGAAGGTACCAACAGGGGCTCCTTCCAGAAGTGTTCGACAAGGGTCCCACATATGGGAGTAAGCGCAGGGTCCAAAAGCCTCTGTTGTGAAGTTCCATCTTCGGCTGGGGCTCTCTAATCACCTTATCAAAAGCCACTTTGCAAAGCCCGCTTCGAGCAGGTGCGAGAATAACATCCGATGACGGGTTGATTTCAATTCATTGTTATGAAGCCAAGGAAGCCTACAAGAGAAGTGCAACCTAAGACCAAGTATTCGACTCTCCAACCCTACACCTGTCTTCGAGCCTACAGGGCCTACAGTGCACCCTGAATGAAGATGAACGTGAACATTGATTCCAAATCTTCCGGACGGCTCTTGCCCTCTGCCGCGCTCTCAAACCTGCATGATAGCTCCTCTTGGGCGGACGTCTGTCACGATTCTAGAATGGGGGGGTAGCGGTTTAGAATCCCCATAATGACATGAAGGGGCTCGTATTGTGTTAGTTAGGTCCGGTCGTTGCAGGCACGTTGTTTGAGGACTTTCCTGTGGCGTCGTACCTGGCATAACAAAGTTAAGGTATGTGGTGGTAGCGGGTTGTTGCTACTGTGTCGTCTCTAGGGTAATCATCTTTTCGAATGCATGAAGTCTCAACACCTGAGGCAACCAGCAGCTGGCACGACAAGAACAGAATGCAAGTTTGAGTCGAGTAACCCTACAACCTTTATCTAACCCTAAACCCTATATTTCTACAGACCCTAAACCCTAAAACCCCTATATAACCCTAAACCCCATGACCCTAAACCCTATACCCTATACCTCCTCTACAACCCTAAACCCCCTACACCCTGAACCCTCCACCGCCGAGCCTGGAGCCCCAAGAATTCGTAGGGGTATTTAGAAATAATGTTTAATTTTTGGTTATTGTAAGCCCTAAGAAACAGCTAAAATTAGAATTTTTGCTAGGGTTCTAAGTCCAATATAATGGGTCTATAGTAGCTATATTAAAGGTATATGCCTAGGGGTCCTTATCAAGGTTCCCTCCTTTTACCCTTGGACCCTGGAGCTTCAAGACTTCTCAGCCCCGCCAGGCCGCTTCGCGCGAGCTCAAGGCGATGTCCGAAGCTCTTCAGGCACTTGTCCGGCGCAGTCGGCTCGTAGTAGGGAGTATGGGGTTCCTTTCAAGGGGTCCTTTATAGGGATCCTCTAAAGGGATCTATAAGGTTCTTAATTAGTAGGGAATAGGGTTTAGGGTTTATAGGGTTCCTTTGAAGGGGTCCTTTAAATGGGGATCTATAAGGGTGCTAGACTGTCTGGTTTACTAAGAACGAGGGAGACTTTTCCGGCGCAGTCAATCGGGGAGTCGATCTTGGGAAATCAAGTAAACCCCAAACTACATATTGGTTTTAGCAAATAGAGTAGGGTTTCGGGGTACATGATAGTATAGTTAGAATAAGCAACCCCGCAGAACCCTATCAAAACACCCAAGACCCAGTTTCGTTGTTGGCTTCTGGAGCTACCTGCGAGGTAACACTGGAGGAGGCGCGGGAGAAGTCGGCGATGCTGGCGGAAGCTGGAGTTGAAAGCATGCGGAATTGTGGGTTTTAGGGCTTTAGGGTTTAGGGGTGAGGGTTCAGGGTTTGGGTCTAAGGTGTCCAGCTTGCCGGCATACTGCTGAAAAGGGATTTAAGGGTGTCAGTTTGACCCGGCCTGGATGCAAAAGGGTTTAAGTTTAGAGGTCAAGGTGCTGAGGGTTTCGGGAAAGGCTTAGCTTAGGATTGAGCGGGTTAAGCAAATCAAAAGGTTCGTTATCAGGACATCAGCCTTCTTTAGGGTTCAGGAATTAGGGTTTAGGGTTAAGGGGCCCCGAATTTTCACAAGCAGAATCGTAATTTCGGCATCTGATCTGTAGTCGACTCAGGAAGAGCTGCGCGCGTCGCAAGAGGCCTGCGCAGCACTCCAGGAGCAGCTGCAGGACATCGGGCAGGCTTAAGGTTGGGGGTTGAGGATTTTGCGGTTTAGGGTTGGGGGTTTGGTGGGCTTCAGCGTTGAGGTGTGGGGATTGAGGATTTTAGTGTAGAGCTCTTAATAGACCATGAAACCCTAAACCCTATAGGCTCCTTAGTAGTTCCCGAATTAGGATTACCTTATAGGATTCTAAATATGAACCCCCAAAAGGAACTACTATGGAGCCTCTAGGTAGACCCCTATACCCTAAACCCGTAAACCCCTATAACCACTCCAAGCCGGGGCGGCTTTCTGTGCAGGAGTCCCAGCAGGCCACGAGCAGCTGCGCTGCGGCAAAGGCAAAAGTGGAGAGCGAGCTCCTGGGCCTTGTTGTTTTTTTGGTTTCGGGTCTATAGGCTTTGGATTGTTTTGTCTTGTTTAGGGTTCATGGTTTAGGATTTTGCGTTTTGGGACGAGTTAGTTTCAAGTTTGCTGGTGTCTCGTGAAGACCTGAGAGTCCAGCTTGATCAGCTTGCGGGCATACATCCAAAGCCCGTGCTGAAAAGCGTTTAGGGCCTTCGTTTTCACGGGCGTTGATGCTCATACGGCTTCCAGGTTCGACAGGCTCCTCCGAACTTCAGTTGTTTCAGATGCTTAGGGTTCCTGCCACGAGTGCAGCAGCTCTGAGATCCACTCGGGCATGTTATAAGTCTGTGCAAAAAGAGTTTAAGTTTTCTCGTGGTTAGGGTTGTTTCTGTGTGGTTGAGCGCAGGCCTAGGTTTTAACTGTTGTTGTTCGGCGCTGGTGGTTGTGGTTTTGGATAGGGCTCGGGTTTTGGCTGTGTTGGTGTTAGATTGGGGATGTTCCAAAGGGGCGTTTGGGAGGTCGTGATGCGTTGTGCGCGTTCTCGGACGGTTTCGAAGAAGGTTTCCATAACAGCTTTGCTGTGTACTTTATATAATAATATGTGCATCAGAAAGAGGTTGGGATGTTGAGGATCTTCAGGGTTTGTTAGCAGCTTAACGGGTGCACACTAGGAGGTTCACTGTTCAAGCAGATCGGACACCTCACACCCTGCTACAGGCCCTGGGGCTTTGGGGCGAGGTGGTTACGGTGAAAATGCTGTCGGGACTCGCATGCCCGTGGTGCTTTAGCCTCGAGGTCATGACAACCGACAAGTATTGTCGGAGTTCTAAGCCAATGCAGCAAGGCTTTCTGTGGTTGGTGTTTGAGCCTGAGCGTCGTTCGGAGATGCTGAAAGGCTTCAGCAGATCCGCGACTCCTTCCCAAGTTAGGCCGCTAGTAGTTTCAAACTGTCCTGTGCTGAGAAGCTGAAGCTCTATCTTGAACGCACAACCCGGCAAAAAAACCTCGAAGCCCAACCACGCTCGGCGCTCGACCGTGTTTTAACCGCCCAAAGTCAACGTCCTGTAACTTCACAATCGTCAGAAGCAAGTGGATTCACTACTGTCTTTGTTAGTCGTGCTAGTATCAATGGCTGTTTTTGTCAGCTCTTTGCCGTCTCTGCTTCTGCTGCCATGTCGTGTTGTTACAAGAAGGGACAAGACACAAAATAACAGATTCAAAACAGAGAAGTCTAACAAATGGTGGAAAGTGCTCTGTGCCCACAGAGCCAACTCTATCAGCACGCCTCGCTCAAGAAGGTGCAAGGTCTTCTCTCTGCCTGGAGACTCCGACTTGTCTGCTTCTTCATGGAGCAGCGCAAAGGCTAAGTATCCACCGAAGCCGGTTCAACCGCTATCACTCCGATTCTGTCGTGGTGGGAGCGGTGCGAGCATGCCAGCGAGAATGCCGTTTGCAGCTTGAGCTGGACATGGCGGCGGAAGCCACTGCCGTCGTCCAAGACCCGACATAAAGCTCAAAGCTCCACTCATCTCCCCTCAGACTTAAGATCATACCGTCAGAACCTGAAAAGGGTGGCAACTCTACTTTAATTGCCCTGGTCTCTTTGCAAAAGTTCGTCACACAAGCACTAAACCCCAAAACCAGGTCCCTATACTACCCCCTCGATCCGCAAACCTACAGCCTCACTCTTAAAGCCCTAAATAGATCGTACGTCCTAAGCTCCGCAATCCGGATCTCGAAAGGGACTCAGACATACCAACCAAAACCCGACGCAACCATAAACAAGCTTGATCGTTGCATGTAAGCGCCCCACGCAAAAGCCCAAGCAAACAGAAGCGAAATCGACTAAACCCTAAACCCTTCAAAACCCCTAAACCATAGCAACAAATTTGACCCGGTTCCATAATGAAAGGACCCGGTTACCCCGGACAGGCATTAAAACCACGAAGCCTTGTAAAGCCGAGGTTAGAGGAGACCCAGGGAGCTTGTGCCCAGCTCACCACGGAGCATCAGGAGCCACGGGCAACGACCTATGGACTCGTTTTTTTCCTCTCTCCACCCCTAAAGCCCTGTCAGCCTTGTTTCCTTCATCTTAAACCCGTCCAAAAGCCCAATAGTAACCCTATATACGTCATAAAACCCAGGCTTTCGGAGGTGCTGTATGGGGTTACATGTGGGTGGTTGTCAAAATTATGGTCCCTTTTGGGGTCCCTATTATACGGCAGCTAGTATTTAGGGTACCCAGGTTTGGCACGGTCCATGGGTGCGTGAGATTCGCGAAAGCACGATCAACGTGGGGTTGTGTGCACTTGTTTGACCAAAAGGTTGGTTTCGGATGCTTGGAAGTACCGTTGTTACCAGGGTTTTGTGTGTCGAAGCACGACAACATAGGCCCCCAGTGGGAGATGTCTAACTTTCCGAATGCGAATTGTGTAGCCGGCCGCTGTTTTTTTCGCAGATGTCTTCTTGTTGTTGGTGTTTGCCTACTGACTCAGGTCCGTCCACAGCTGCTTTGGTCTATTGAATCGGAACAGAAAGGAAAAGGAAAGATTATGCTGGAGATGATCATGATGATGCTCTGCTGTGAAAGTAATTACTGGTCTTACTAGTGTTTTTGTGTCGAAGGTTGATGATGTGTTCATGGGGATGATGTTGAAGTGGACGTCACTTCTCCCACCATACCCCCCACTCAGCCAGGGAAGCCTTACACCCGCAAAACCTGCCAAACCCCATGGTCATTAAGGCGGGTGTCCCCTGAACCTGACGTGTCTGCGGCTCGAGCCATTTGCTAATTCGTACCTGAACGACCTGCAACAGGTCTCTGCCTTCGACGGCTCTTGGCTTCATTTTAAGACAAAGCAACCGGGAACCTTCTTGACTCGGACAGTTCTTCGAAGATATCCTTTTGGGTCTATGTGCCCCATGCTTTAGGGAAAGCTTTACGGCTTTAGGGTTCAGAGATTGCAGGAGGGTACCCGGTTCGCTTGCGCTTTGCGGTTCCCTCGAGCTCCTTTTTCTCTGCGCCATGGAAGAGGCAGGCAGGTTGCTTTCCACCATCGAGCTTGATGAGTACACCATCAAGGACACCAAGGGTCATCAGCCATGCAGCACGAGAGGTGATGTTGGCTTCCTCCGGATCCCTGCAGAAGCAGCCAGTCGTTATCTGTCAACGAAGACCCCAGGCCACAATCAGTGCTGAAAACACCCCAAACGCCTGAACCCTTGAGCACCAAAGCTGCAACTTCACACTGCGACTGATCCTCACAGGAGGTTCAGAATGGCTGGGAGACGGTCGAAAAACGGCTGGGAGGTGCAAAAGCTGCTGGCGAGGAAGTATTTGGTAAGCTGAAGAACCTCTTCTCCACACTTAGGGTTAAGGGTTTCGGGTTCTTAGGGCTTGCGGCGAGGGCTCAGAAGCTTGTTTTCGGTGGGTTCTGCCAGTGCGGCTTTGCCTTTACTTGCTTTGGTGTTGCAAGAGGAACCCGGCTTTAAAGCCTGTCGAAGGTTTCAGAGAGGTGGCATACTTGCGGCCTCGGGTAGGAAGCTGCGGACCTTCTCACTGAGGGTTTAGGGTGTTTTCGAAGAAACCAAGCCAGGTTTTTGTATTCAGTGTGCGACTAGGGTTTCGCATTCAGGAAACATTGCTATTTTGACAGATCCCCATGATGGCAACATATATTAAGCTCCGTACTGTGGCAAGAACCCGTCTTATTATTCCGGGAGCGGTTATGATCCACGGGTTTGCTTTTGTCTGAAAGGAGCATGCACAGCGAACTGAGAAGTCTTCGTTTCGCCATCCGTTAATCCCCTAGTGTAGGCAAAAGTAACCCACTCTTTCTAAAGGGATTATGTATAAGATAAGGAGCTCTAAAATGGTAGGGTTTTGGGGCTACATGTGCACCCTTGAAGCTGAGCCTGTGCCGGCCCTAAAATCCTGGCTCGGGGGCTCCGTCTGAGATCCTCATTTGGGTAGTTGTCAAATTAAGGTCCCCGAAAACTGAGTTCGTGGATGCCGAGTTATCTTTACGATATTGGGTATAGTTGCGTGAACAACCAGAAGACACGCCTTTTTGGGCACCCTAAATATTCGGTGCCGTACTATGTTAAGGACCCAAAAAGGGACCCTAATTTCGACAACCACCCACGTAAGCTGGCAAGGAATCTGGGGGTTCAGGCCCGGAAACCCTAAAAAACCCCACAAAGCCCCTAAATCCCTACAGTCCCAAGCCCTAAATCCCTAAAGCCCCAAACCCTAAACCCCTGGTTCTAAAATCCTAAACCCTAAAATCCCTAAAGTCCTACACCCTAACCGAGGAATGAAGTGCCGAAGACACAAGGCATGCTTACCAGATCGAGCACTGTTTGGCACCTCCTCTCCGAGTTGATGCAATCTCTCAATGAAGCCCAGCCGATTTAGGGGCCTGAATACAGTCTGACAGTTTTTAGGGGTTTACGGATTGGGGTTAAGGTGCCTTAACTAAGACGAGGGTCTTATGGGGGGTGTCTTATAGCAGAAGTATGGGTTCAGGACGTCGGGCTTATGGTTTCGATCGGTGGTGGTTGAGGCCCAGGTTGGTGTTCTTTGGTGCCGGGGGAGATGCATGATGCCGTATTATGTAGGGACTGAATAATAAGTATCCCGGTATAGTTCGATACATACATTTCTTACAATGTGCCCCGAAACCCAAACCCTACTCTAACTGGTCAAGGCCCCTATCCCTAGGGATACAGCGCAAAGGCCTTATATAGTATGGTCTTTGGCCCCAAAAGCCTTAATATATGAGTCCTTAGATCCCTAGAAAATGAGCCCCATAGGAGCTGACAGTGTTTGGCTCGCGAACGAAGGAGCCGAAGTTGGTGCAGAAACGTCTGGAGTACATCGCCTTGCGCCACATGAATGCGGATATCACCACCGCCGATGTCGAGGTGAGCGGTATCTTACCTCTACATCCTTTCTTGAAGTTCTTGAAGGATCCTGCTTCGAAACCGTGGGTTTGGAGTTCAACCCTGTGAGCCGTCGAGGGTCTAAGGTTGAAATGTGCGAATGACCCTTGTAGAAGCTATCTGCGACTTGCCCGCAGGTGTTCCGCAACATTTTGTTTGAAGCTGCTTGGCCGCTGTTGATCTGTGGTCTCGGTTTTCGTTTTTTGGCAGTCCCTCCGGATCGAGGCCCTGTAGGCCATAGGGGGGCCTCATGGGGCCTTAATGGCTTAATGGATAGAAGAGGGTTTGGGGTATCTCTTTGAATATACGACTATACAGCGATTGAAAGGAGACAACACTGCCTACTTTAGACATGGCGGCGCAAACCGAATATCCAAGTAGAATTACCCAGGCTTGAATATCACCCTCTACTCTAAGCGTACATCGGGGGACCAGTAGAGCCTTAAGCCCCAAACAAGACAACCTGACAAGCATTAAGCCCTGAACCGAACCTACATGCACAAAAAGTTCTGAACCCTAAACCAACAAAGAACTAAATCTCCTGAGAACCCTAAAACCCCAAGCCTTCAACCGTAAATCCTAAAAGCTAAGAACCCCTCAAGCCCCAAGCCCTCAACCGGTACAACCCGACCAACAGGGTTCCTACAACCCTAAAAACCCTAAGCCCCAAACTTACTAGAGGGGTTACTAGAACCCTAAAAACCCTAAGCCCCAAACTTACTAGAAGGGGTTACTAGAACCCTAAACACCCTAAGCCTAGAACCCTAAAAACCCTAAGCCCCAAACTTACTAGAGGGGTTACTAGAACCCTAAAAACCCTAAGCCCCAAACTTACTACAAGGGGTTACTAGAACCCAAAACCCTAGAGCCAAAAGCCATTTTGGCTCAAGGCCGAGGGTACCCCAGAGCTCCCTGTCTGCCCTGAGCTTCTTGCCTGCTTGGCGCTCCTGCTCACGCTCCTGTTCCTTGACGACCTTGTGACGATTCTCTGCGAAGTTGGTGCAGCTGGCGGCTCGTCAAGGCGCGGGGGTTCGTCGGTGTGCAGATTCGGGACTTTGTGGAGGGGATGAGTCGACCTGTGCGTAAGAGGGCAGAGCAGGAGGCGGCGGAAAATGTGTCTATCCCGGCGAGTTCTGACGACGAGGGCCTCCGTAGTCCAAAAGCGGCCAGGGGAGGCGGCGAGGACCATCCGGTCACGCTGTCTGAATTGCGGAGCATTATGTTGGAGCAGACTCGTCAGCTGCAGCACAGCAACGAAACTTCTATGGACAAAGCTGTCAAGCGGATGGAAAAGCATCTAGAAACCAAGCTGGGCGACTTTGAGGAACGAGTGACGGGCATCGATGACAGGGTTGGTGCTCTGGAGAAACAGATAGAGGAGCTGCTGAAGCAGGGGGCTAAGGCTCCTCAGTACCAGGGGCTGGGGCAGGATGACTCTGCCAGGCGAGCCAGAACATTGGTCTATGGCGGGTGGCCTCGGGACACCAGGCGTAAAGTCATCCTGGATGATCTCAAGGGCTTCCTCGAACAGCTTAAGGTACACGATCTGATTGACTCGGAGCCCTTCACCACGGGGGCCAGACGGTCGATGGCGATGAGTGGCTTTTCCCAACGTCCTGGTGAGTCCTTCTCCGACATGAGATCTCGGATGCATAAAGTCGTGGTTGCATTCTCCCAGGGTGGCCTCCGGACCAATGCAGGGAAAGCTTGGGCGAGCTATTCAAAAACCCGAGCGGAACGGCTCAAGAGCTCACATGCAGGTTGGGTGAAAAAGGCCGTGGCACAGCTGAAGGAGGATTGCGTCCAGACTCTGGAGGTTGAGTGGCAGTCAGGTTCGGTGTGGTATGAGGATTTCCTTCTTGCTAGTGCTGATCTCCCGGTACCACCAGGTACAGATATGAGGGGTATACTTGTGCGTGAAGATGTTGAAGGGCAACCATGGGTATCCACGAAGCTGATTGCACAGGTCCTGAAGGTGAAGGAAAGGGACGCGAAGGGGGCTCTTGAGGAGCTCCAGCGCTGATTTACACCTCCTTTGTCTGAGGACCGTGACAACAAGCTCAGGGTCCTCGGCTGGAACCTTGGTGGTGTGGAGGTCCAAGACCTTTCACAAGCACTGGACGATGCGGCTCCGTCGCAGTTGGAAAAAGGCTCCATTGTGCTCTATCAGGAGGCTGCCAGAGGGGATGCAGGGTGGACTGTGGATGCACAGAAGCAGTGGACATTGGTGACTCATCGGCACTCGCATGCATGGAGGGGGTGTGGGATTATGTACCAGTCGAGCTCATGGTGCTTGCTTCGCCGAGTTTTCACAACGCGTGGGGTCTGGTTCAAAATCAGGGCGAAGGACGACTCGGAGACGTTGTGGGTTGGGACGTGTCACTTCACTCCAGGATGTACCTTTGCCCAGTTTGAGGAAGAGGCCGAGGATCATTTTCGAGGGCTCCCAAAGAACGCGGTAAAAGTCGTCTTTCAAGGGGATGTCAACACGCCTTTCGGGTGGACTAGGGATGGTGCTGAGCTTACTCCTGTTGCAAGGGAGGGAAAGGGAGGCGTCCCCCTCAAGATCCTGCAGGAGCGAGGGATGACCCTGGTGGCACCTCATCCCTGCCAGTTTGGGACCCCTACCTCGAGGCCTCGGCAGGAAGGTCGTGCTGGGCAACAAATTGATGTTATGGCACGCAAGGGTTTGCACACTGGGGCACTTCACATCCATGTTGACTCGTACATGAAGGTTGGCACGGACCATGAACTGCTACAGTCCAATTTTGCTTCTTCATGGTCGGGGTTCAAACCGAGGAGGCAAACAAGGTCGCGAGTCCTTTCGAAGCCCATTGGGGTCCTGGAATGGGTTGATCAATCTGTTCTTGGGGAGCTTGCGGTATCCCACACCAAGCCGAAACCTAGCCAATCGTACAGGGACCCGGACTCGGTCAAGCTTCTCTTTCGAAAGGCGCGTCTTAGTGGCACGTCAGCGGCATGGAAGGAGGCCCTCAAGTCGAGAAAGCTCGCCAGGAAGGCTTGGGAAACGGACAGGGTTCACAGGGCTACGATGGGGGACTGGGAGAGCCTCAGGGAGATCAAAGGGTTTGCTGGTCAAGGCTGGGATGTTGAATTTGCCCTGCACCAACAAGGGGATCCACATGAGGTCATTCACAATCACTTCCAGGGTGTCTACCAGGGCTCTAGGGTGCAGGAGGTGGTGGAGTCGCCCCCCGGTGATGTTCGAGCCTTTGACTTGGATGAGCTGTGGGCTGGACTTCGTCAACTCAAGGGTCAAAAAGCAGTTGGATGTGATCTTACGTCGAAGGAGCTGCTCCAGGGTATATGTATGGCGGAAGGTGGCGCAGCTCAGGTTCTTGAGTTTTACAACCGTGTGCTTGCTACTGCCGTCATACCGCCTGAATGGAACAAGCCACTGCTGGTGATGCTTCCTAAGATTGCTCAGCCTCGTGTCCCCAAACATTTGCGGCCTATTGCGCTCGGTTCCTCTGTTGGAAAACTATTTAGCAGGCTCCTACTGAATCGATGCCTTGAACGGATACGTCTTCAACATCCCCCACAATGTGCCGGTGTTCATAGACAGACGAATGACTACACCTTTACCCTCATTCGTTTGTTTGAATTGGAACGAGAATGGCAGGGTGGGATGGCAGCCATCAAGGTTGACGTCAGTCGTGCCTTTGATGATGTCGACAGGGATGTCCTGCTTGCTAAGCTGGAGGCTAAGCTAGGCCCGGGGGCAGAAATGCAATGTTGGAAGGGTTTGCTGGCCAACAATGAGGCGATGATCTGCACCCCTTTTGGTGAGTCAGTCATTGGCATGTCAAAGGGAATAAAGCAAGGGGGGGTCGAGTCTCCGGCTTTCTACGGGATGCTCATGGAACTTGCAGCTCATGAAGCAGAACAGGAGTTTGGTTGGGCGAAGCGCGCTCGCCTCTACCCGGATTTGTCATGCCCTGACACGGCTATGTTTATGGATGATGGGGTTCTGTGGTCCAGAGGGTCGCTCGCACTCCAAAAAAGGGTCGCTGAATTTGCACAGGTCCTCCTCAGGTATGGCCTCAAGGTGAACATTGCGAAATGCCAGTTGTATTGTGCCCCTAAGTGCCCAGGACCTCGCCAAATCAGGGTCGAAGGGACGGTGCTGCATGCTGACACACACCTCGAAGTCATGGGGCTCACTCTATCTGTGGGCCAATCGATCTGCAGTTTAATCTCCCCGTTGATGACGAGATGTCGGGCAAAGTTTTGGGAGGTCCGGCATGTACTGCGATCCAATGGCCCACTTCATGCTCGAGTTCGGCTCATGCAACGAATTGTCGGGGCCTCTGCACTTTGGTGTATTGCCTCGGTTCCACCTGATAAGGCTGCTATGACTATGGCTAACTCGGTTCAACTTCAGCTGATGGTCTGGTTGTTGAAGTTGGGGAAGCGTGCCACAGAATCATGGGTGCAGTTTCGGCAAAGGGCCTTCAGATCCGCACGAGCAGTTCTCAACAATGCAGGGTGTGAGCGGTGGTCCACCTTGTGGTTACGTCGTTACTGGCAATTTGCTGGTCATCGTGCAAGGGCTCTCGCACTTCCTTCGCCTGTTGTCAGTGCTCATTTCGAATCCTTTCGTCCTCTTTCATGGTGGCAGGTCGAGAAGTACAAACCGAATGGGGTCAAACACCATGGGAAGCACTTTGCCCGTCTTACCCTCCTTGAACAAAGCCTTGACAGTGCAGCAGGGGGGTCGTGGCGTGGTATTGCAATGGACAGGGTTCAGTGGCAAGCCAGGGAAAGGGTTTGGATTGAGAACATGGACTTGCCGTGGAGCTCTGGAAGGCAGCTGAGCATAGGGAATAGTCTTTAGCCTGTCTTTGCTTGAGGTCCTGTACAGTTCTAGGGTGCTGGTGCTCAGGGTTCGCGAATGAAGGTTGCTGCCTGACCGCTTGAGCGCTCGAGTTAGTGGCACACCTCACGACTCACGACCTCTTGCTCGTTTTGCCGCAATGGGCGGCCTCTTCATATGGATTTGCCTACGCATGTGCCTAATACAGGCACTCCATGGTTCCACCCATGATGGCTGGGGCCAGGCATCTACTGAAGTTTTCTCTTTTGGTTTTGATGGTTTGGAGGGTTTCCCTCGCACGATGGCGCTGCTGCGGCTGCCGCCTCGTCCTCGTCTACAGGTACCTGCTTCACCCCTTTATGATCCCGATCGGCGGCTCGTGTACCTCCTCTCCTTCCTCAAGGGTGAGGCTTCTGAACTACTGCATGGTGACGAATCGGATGCTTCTTCTTTCATGCAGGGGACCGCGTCCGCAAAGAGCCAGGCCAAGGGGTGGTTCACAAAGGCAAAGGAGGACTTCGCTACCTTCCACGCTCAGGGTCTCCACCGTTGTGCTGCACTGCATCTCCGCGATCTTCTTCGTGAAGCACACCCGGCGATATGTCGTCGAGCTCGTGAATACTTGCCTCTCCTGCTGGGGGACTCCTCAAATCAAGGGGCACGCGATGCCTCTGACCCTGAACGACTTCAGTGTCAGGCATGGGCACAACAAGTATTGGACGACCTGACCTCCTTGGTACCACCCCGAAAACTCCGTGAACCTGCCCCTGCCTCCTCTTCGGCTTCTGCTGGTGAATACCCGTATGGACTTTTCCACGCGATCCAAGTGTGGCCCAATGGCTCCTACTCGGTCCCCTCTGTTGGGACTGGATCTGGTGGTGGTGGTGCCTCCACACACTCCAGTGGCAGAGAGGTGCCCACGGATGAGGAAACTGACGAAGCGGGGCTCCTCTCCCTCACCTTGGTGACCACCTTCCTCCCACTGCGGACCACTGCTTTCGATGAGCTTTTTGATGGACGCCAGTTACCGGACTGGTTCCTGGACCAAGTGGATGTTCTTGAAGCACTTGCAAACCGAGGAGCGCGTGCAACCGATATGGCCCTCTACCTTGAAGACGTCTTCCTCGCCTCTGAGGATGATCGGATGATCAACGCCCTCGCGCCTTATGTGAATGCTATGCGATATCGAATGGAGACCTACGTCCCACACGCAAACGCCATGACGAGAGCAGAAGGGGTCCCTTCTATTCTGGAATGGAGTGAGGCTGTGATTGGAATCTTCCGCTTCATGAAGGAGAGGTGGTTGTGGAAAATTTGCCCGACAGCCATGTGGAACCAACGTCACGAACGCTTCCTGGCGGACCAAGGGTACTGCAATGTGGTGTTCTCACCGGAGCACTACGTGGGCGAGGACTCTGAGAGACGGGAGCTCTCTCGATCTAGGTCTCCCCACCGGAGGGACCGACAGCCGTGGCGAGTGAATGAGGTTTCCCCACCCAGGGCTTTCGACGACTCTGCGAGTGAACAGGCTGAGGGCTCGGACGTCTCCTCCTTCATGATGACCAGTGGGCGTGGCAACCGCAGGCCTGCTAAATCCAGGTCGCGTGACAGAGATCGCCGTGATGCCCGTGGCGATGGCCCTGGAGATTCTACTCGTGACAATCGTCGTGGCAGCGAGGGTCGTAGAAGGGTTCTGGAACGGCGCCCAGTTCGAATCACCCCGGGTCCGACTGATGCACATGGTGGCGGGCGCAGACGAGATCCCAGATATTCTGCGAGGTCGTTACGAGAGTGCCGACAAGTACCCCGGGTTCGGTATCCAGGCCTGTTTCCTAACTCTTTGGCCTCCTCCTCCTCCTCTTCAATGCCGCCTCCGCCGCCTGGGTTTGATGTGACGGCTGCTATGAATGTGTGGCGCCGGTTACTTGGGCACTCGCGTGTGGGGGACCTTGAGATTCAGAACGGTGGGCCCCTGATCTCTGATGCCACCTACCGGAACATCCTGGTGGATATGCGAGCGAGGTCTGAGCAAGAGCGACATATCATGTCCATTGCAGTGGTCAGCTATATCAGGGCACTCATGGTCGAGCTTGGGGAAGTGTGTCACGAAGCGACCTTGCACATCGAGACCCTGGACGATGATGAGGTCTTGGTTGAGGTTGATCCTGAGGATGACACCACCCACCTGATGCAGCTGGAAATTGGAGACGTCATGCACGACAAAGTCAATGACAGGTGGTCGAGGCAGCTCGTGAGACTTCAAAAGGAGCTCGCTCAGCAAATAAAAGGGCTTCGTCGAGCACATGTCGCTGACCTGCTGGGTCGTCTTCGAGGTGCAGTTGGAATGGGCCTCACGGAAGGTTTTGGGGCGCAGCTTGAGGCCTTGCTGTTGGCGATGACGGACCCGGAGGTCCACATTGGTATGCCTGTGGACTCCAACTGGCTCGGTCCTTGGGCCGAAAGTCTTGGTCAGTTTATTCCAGGCATGGAGGCTCCCTTCCAGATCACCCTCAACGACAGTCTGGATGAGAACGACCTGGTACGTGCTGCTGAACAGGCTGAGGCCTCTCAGCCTGCCCTGCCAGATGAGCCTGCCTCCTCGAGCTGGGAAGGCCCGGCTGCAGTGGCGGAAGTGGCCATGCTCCGGGCGCAGGAGCACTCCGTTTTGCTCCACCAGGCATCGGTGTATCGCGACTGGGAGGATTGGGAAATGATGCAAGCTTCGTCTACGCAGCCTGCTGTTCGTGCACGCCAACAGTGTGTGGTTGAGGTTGAGGGCATCCTGGGCAAAGGAAAAGGTCCGGGCGGGCCCCAAATGACTCGGAGCTGGCTTCTGGAGGTACCGCCGGAGGGCAACCTGGAGCTGCGCGTTCGGTGCCGCATGGAACCTGCCGTCGATCAAGATGATGTTCAAACGCAGATCTTGCCGGACACCAAAAGACGACGGCAAGAACTTGCAGAGCAAGCCGCACGGGGTGACCCTAACCTTCAGTATACTCAATATGCTGATCTCTACCAACAATGGCTACAGGGTCGCCTAGGGAGTCGGCAAGTTCAGAACCTGTATGGTGCCGAATTGCTGTCCACCTTCGAAGCGCAGTTCGCGATGTCCACTGACTTCCAGCCGGATGGTCGTCTACCTGGGCGACCAAACCCTTTGACCCCGCTTGGAGCGCATGGTTGCTTGGAAGCATCGCGTTATGAGCGCATTTATGGGCTATGGAAGGAGGGATGGCTGGGGGACTCCGAAATCGTCGAAACCTTGGGGCCCCGTCTCCTTGAGATGATGGCCTGCCAGCAGCTTGGAGGAGGCATGCCGTCCTTCGTCACCATGGTTGGCTTCGATGAAAAGGTTGTGGTCGTTGGTAGGCCGGACCTGCTGGAGATCACGGGCGTGGTGGAGGGTTCGGATGGCACCTCTCAACCTGTATTACCTGATGGGCATCCTGCGGGATTACTTGTTCCTGGTGAACCGATCGCATCAAACGAGCGGGAAGGGTTGATGGAGCCTGATTTGGAAGTCTTCACAGGGTTCAGTGCCGATGTCGGAGAGACTGGTGGACTGGGTGTGGGAGAGACGGCCTGTGATGATGGTAGTGATGAAGACCGGTGTGGAGATGGTCGTTCCGAAGATCGTATGGAGTCCGAGCAGGGTGATGACTGAGGGCTATGCTATCCTGAGGGGCTGTAAACCGCTTTCCCAACTTGGGATTCTGTCTTGCAGATGGAAAAAGGCGTTCAAAAAAAAAAAAACTAAACCCTAAGCCAAAGCTCGGATAAAGTGGGACTCTACGAGCCCAGGTTTGCGCGTCGAAGCTCGGCGGTCTCATGACTCCAGAGTTCCAGCTTCCAGGTGGCAAGTTGGGTTTAGAGCTCGTTCCTCTAAAGGGCTCCATAAGGGTACTAATTATCAGGGTTCAGGCTCTAGGGTCTAGGGTTCATGCAAGTTTTAGAGTTGAAGGCCATAGGGTCGAAAAGGATTATAAGGTTGATAAGGTTTGCCTGCTCCGCAGTGGTTGAAACTGGCTACACCTGAGCCCAGAGGTAGACAAGGTTTAGGGTTCAGGGGCCTCAAAAGGTAGGATGAAGGTAGGTGGGATATTCCCAAATAAGAGCCCTTGTTAAGGGATCCTCAATCCCACCCACCTTCATCCCACCTTGTGACGCCTCCGATCAGTCCGTGCTGAAAAGGGGTGAAGGTTGAAGGTTAAAGGCGGTTAAGGGTTGAAAGGATATACGGCTGGGCATAGAAGAGACTTCATAGGTAGAGCCGGTTTCTTTTGGGTATCTTGAAAGGGTTCTATCCCTTAAGGAAAAAGGGAGCAGTACATCCGTCTCTGTCTTGGTGCCGCTCCCCCCCCTCCCCTTCTGCCGCGCCGGTCGGTTCAGCACCCTAAATAATTACCCTAAACGCCCTAAACCTTAAATTCCCTAAACCCTAAATGCCCTAAACCCTAAACCCTAAACCCGCTTAGGGTTCAGGGTTCTGACCCTGCGTCGATAGATGGGCGCCAGGGTTTGTCCGGTTGGGGAGCTCGTGGCTCGTGGTGTCGGAAGACATGGGACTTTCCGAAAATTGGGGGTGCCTTATTTTGGGGTCTTTATAGTAAGGATCCTGCTATCTATGGTACTATATTAGGGTCGCCTGTTCTCGGAAACTCCCACATGACGGACACAACCAGGAATATTTTGCTTGTCAAGAGATGTGGTCGTTCTTGGAGCCTGTGGGAGAGTTTCCCCGCGATGTGATTTACTCTCCCTAAAGTAGAGGAGGATATCTGAGGGCAAGGGGGGAAGGTTAGTGTGGTTTCGAAACTTGGGAGTGGGGGCGGGGGAGTGGATTTTTGCATGCGGAGGGGGCGGGGAGAGGGCTCGTGTGTCAACGAGCCCTTTCGTAGGGTATCATCAAGGGCGATTAAGTGTTCAGGCGTTTATCTCACTAAACTGTTGACGCTAAGCTTAAACGTTAAGGGTTTAGGGTTGACCTTCCTGGGAAGAGGACCTCGTTGGTAAGAACCCACAAGTCCCATAATACTCTGACGAATCAAGGCCTGACTGCCCTGATGCCCTGGTAGAGGTGTCTTTGCAAGATTGGAAGTTGGAAACAGAGGACAACGACATCTGATACTCTGATACTATGTTTATAAAGAATTGAGGTTTGAAGAACGCTTTTAAAACCCATCCAGTTTTGAAGCACCAGAATAATGGCACAAAGCCCTGGGCCATAAATTCTCTTGGTTTTTAAAGCTGTGTTCGTTAATGGTCTGGTGCTCGAGGAGCTTGAGGTGACACGCAGATTGCGATCTATGAGCCTTATCTGGCGACTCCGAGTATATATGGATCGGAATCACCGTAAAGAGTATCCTTGTTAGGTTCTAGTCGCCATAGAACTATACTATAAAAAACAGATCCCCGCTACCCTGTTCTCCATTGATGCGCCTATACTAAGCCTTAAATTAAACCTGAAAGTCATGCTCGTCTGTGCATTTTCACCCTTGAATCCCTAAACCTTGAGTGTGAGTGTCAAAAATCCTCAAACTCTAAACAATCTCTAAACCTTAAACCTTGACCCCTAAACCTTAAGCCTTAAACGCCAAAAAGCCTTAAACCCTAAACCAAGCAGAAGAGGGAACAACAAAAAAAAAAACAAGCAGAAGACCAGGTTCGGGCTTGGTCAGATTGTGGTCGCCGTAGGCACCTCCTTGGCTCCTTCGGCGTGGACTAGGGTTTGGGAACTTCGGACCAGGTTTACGTAGGACTTTGTGGTTTGGGGTTTCTGGTTTGATGGAGTGAAGTTTGCATCGGTTGTTGTGTTCTTGTTGCTACATCTGTCTGTCTCTGCGTGCTTGCTCGATGTTGCTCACTAGTAAACGGAAGTAGTAACATTTTGTGATGGGTGGGTGAGCATGCAAAAGGGAAACCATTAGTTGGGTATCTTAAACTGCCATCACCTACCTGTTGCAGGTGCTTGCAGTATCAAACTTCATACAGAACTTATAGGATCGCATCGCGCAAAGAAAGGTAGGTCTGGTAGTTCCAGGTCGGGTGTGCAGAGAGTAAGGCCAAGACGCACGAGCACTACGCGACGAGGCTTAAGCTGCTGACCACTTGCTGGAAGGAGGCGAACTGGCTTCCCTGTCAGGGTTCAGGGTTTAGGGTGTCTCAGGATTTTTCGTGAGAGCTGTTTAAAGTCATGTTGCATGTATACTGGTAATGGTAAGCACCAGCAATTAGAGACAAAGGATCCTGACTTGATTTGTGAGCGACTCGGCCTAGGTGAATGCCAATGCCGACGACGAGCAGGAAGCACAGCATCATGGAAATGCAGAAAATCCCGAGGAGGACAAGGAGGGCGACAAGGAGAATAAGACTGAGCAGGCAGCCTTTATAGGGGTGCTGCAGGGCTTTGAAAGCATGTATACTTGGGTTTTCATTCGTTTTCAATGGCAGGCAAGGCCCGACTCGCCCCGCAATGCCGATGCTGGTGGAAACAAGGAAACGGAGAAGGGTGAGAAGGAGGCTGAGCAGGAGGGACATGGCGCATGGCAGGACATTGGGCTCAGGGTGTAGGGGGTGGAGGGGGCAGTCTCTTAGTAGTAGAGTAGTAGGTAGACTTAACCTTTATGGACTAGTATATAGCTACCCTGTAATTAAAACCCCGAAGGGTAACCTTTAGTTCCCCTGCGAAACTGGGCCCTGGTACTCTTATAGATCCCTAATTATAGAGGACCCTTTTAAACGGGGCCTTTAAAGGAAGCCCTTATTCTGATTGTTAAGGCCCTTTGAAGCAGGACAACTCCAACATGACCCTAAACCCTAAATCCTAAACCCTCAACCCTCTCGGAGGGAAAAACCCTCAACCCTAAACCCTAGTAACCCTAAACCCTAAACCCTAAACAAGCAGGACAACTCCAACATGAACATTCCGAAGACCTTTGCTGCCATGGCTCGGTTCAATGCCGCCGTCATGGGCTCCTCGGCTTTTTTGGGGTTTCCGGGTTTAGGGTTTAGGGGACATTGGGTCTCTGAAGGTTTAGGGTTTATAAGGCTCCTTGGCTTTCCTTGGGGATTCCTTGGGGGTTCCGACGTTGGGTCTCTGAAGGTTTAGGGTTTATAGGGCTCCTTGGCTTTTTTGGGGGGGCTCTGATTCTGAGGGTGTAGGCTTCAGGCATTTGATGGCATTTGGTGTTTAGGGGATTCGTGGTTTAGGGCTGAGGGATAAGAGGTTTAGGGTTCATGGGTTTATGGTTTAAGGTAGGGCTTCTACAAGGACCTCTAGAGGGGTTTTTCTAAGGGTTTCGAGATTGGGGTTTCAGCGTTGCGGTTCTAGGGCCAAGCGTTTCTATAAGAAGGGTCCATTAGGGGTTTTAGTACCGTGAAACAGGTTCTATTAGTGTCCAGGTCCAGTAGGGTTTTTGGCATTAGGGGTTTGAGTGCCGTAAGGGCTTTGGGTCGAGGTCGGCTTGGTAGTTTCTGCTTGTTGCCGTAGTCTTTTTCTCCATTGCGCGCGCAAACAGCGGACGCGCACCGCTAAACCCGATAAACCCGCTAAACCCGATAAACCCGCTAAACCCGATAAACCCGCTAAACCCGATAAACCCGCTAAACCCGCTAAACCCGATAAACCCGGTAAACCTGCTATCAGGGGCGCCCCATCAACCCAAGGCCCCACCCTCGGAGTTCAAGATCTGTAAGGGTTGCGATTTAGAAGGCAGGGGTGCCCCAGCAACCCAAGGCCCGACCCTCGGAGTCAAGATTTGTAAGAGTTCTGATTAAAAAACCAGGGGCGTCCGAGGTCCCACCCCCGGAGTTCAAGCTCACTAAGAGGCGGTGATCCGAAAATCATGGGCGCTCCATCAGTCCAAGTCCTCATCCTCGGAGTTCAACATCTGTCAAAGCTTTGATTTAAGAATCAGGGGTGCCCCATCAGTCCAAAGCCCCACCCTCGGAGTTCAAGGATCTGCAAGGGTTCTGATTTAAAAATCAGGGGCGCCCCGCCCCATCAGAGTCCAAGGCCCCACCCTCGGAGTTCAAGATCTGTAAGGGTTGGGATTTAGCAATCAGGGGTGCCCCATCAACCCAAGGCCCGACCCTCGGAGTTCAAGATTTGTAAGAGTTCTGATTAAAAACCAGGGGCGTCCAAGGCCCCACCCCCGGAGTTCAAGCACACTAAGAGGCGGTGATCCGAAAATCATGGGCGCTCCATCAGTCCAAGTCCTCATCCTCGGAGTTCAACATCTGTCAAAGCTTTGATTTAAGAATCAGGGGTGCCCCATCAGTCCAAAGCCCCACCCTCGGAGTTCAAGGATCTGTAAGGGTTCTGATTCAAAAATCAGGGGCGCCCCGCTCCATCAGAGTCCAGAGCCCCACCCTGGGAAATCAAGATCTGTAAGGGTTGTGATTTTTGAAATCAGGGGTGCCCCATCAACCCAAGGTCCGACCCTCGGAGTTCAAGATGTGTAAGAGTTCTGATTAAAAAACCAGGGGCGTCCAAGGCCCCACCCCCGGAGTTCAAGCTCACTAAGAGGCGGTGATCCGAAAATCATGGGCGCCCCATCAGTCCAAGTCCTCATCCTCGGAGTTCAACATCTGTCAAAGCTTTGATTTAAGAATCAGGGGTGCCCCATCAGTCCAAAGCCCCACCCTCGGAGTTCAAGGATCTGTAAGGGTTCTGATTTAAAAATCAGGGGCGCCCCGCTCCATCAGAGTCCAAAGCCCCACCCTCGGAGTTCAAGATCTGTAAGGGTTGTGATTTAGAAATCAGGGGCGCCCCGCTCCATCAGAGTCCAAGGCCCCACCCTCGGAGTTCAAGATTTGAAAGAGCTCTGATTAAAAAACCAGGGGCGTCCAATGCCCCACCCCCGGAGTTCAAGCTCAGTAAGAGGCGGTGATCTGAACATCATGGGCGCTCCATCAGTCCAGGGCCTCCTCCTCGGAGTTCAACATCTGTCAAAGCTTTGATTTAAGAATCAGGGGTGCCCCATCAGTCCAAAGCCCCACCCTCGGAGGTCAAGGATCTGTAAGGGTTCTGATTTAAAAATCAGGGGCGCCCCGCTCCATCAGAGTCCAAGGCCCCACCCTCGGAGTTCAAGACCTGTCCGGGTTCTGACTCAAGAATCGGTCGGTAGTCATAGATTTCAGAAGACTTTCAGAAGAACAAAGACACAATATCAAGCCCAAAACAGTTCCGAAGTGCGCGTAAAATTCCGGGTGCACGCACAAGAGCACGTCAATTGAGTCGAGATTCGTGGTCGTTCGCCAAAAAATCCATAGGATGCAATAACAACACGTGAAATGTAAAAACTCTCTCTGACTGACAGTTGAAGAGAAATCGCAGGACTGCGGGAACTGCTGCCAGCAATGAGCCACAAAAACCTGGTACGACAGGGCAGGCTGCAAAACCAAGGACGCAACCAGGCTGCAACAGCCACAGGGTAGTATATTGCCTGTGTGCCAGGCTGTATAGGCAGAATTCCAGCGCAATTCCAGCGATTCCGGCGCAATTCGGCGCAATCGGCGCAATTCGTCGCAATTCGGCGCAATTGGCGCAATTCGGCGCAATTGGCGCAATTCGGCGCAATCGGTGCTTTCCAGCGCATTCCAACGCATTCGGCGCATTCCAGCGCAATCGGCGCAATCCAGCGCATGGCCATCTGCGGCCACTGAGCCCGCATGCACTTTCTCCCTATGTATGTATCTATGTATGCACTTGCACATGATGTGCATATGCCCGTTTGTACCTATCCGTGTAAACTATCTGTCTATCTGTTTACCTATATATCTCTCGATCTCCGCAGAAACACATCCATAAACACGTTATGTTCACAGGTAGTTCTATCTGTACATATACATGTACATGTACAGACATTGCAAATGCATTGTGTATTCGTGTTTGGCAGACGCTCCATGATTTGCGGCCTGGCCTTGTGGCCGGCTGAGTGCTTGCCTCTCTATGTCGCGAGTTTGGCATGAAAGCGCTCGGTCTAGGGTTCAGGGTTAAGATCTCACGAAGACCTTGAGAGCCCAGCTTGCCGGCATACAACCAAAGCCCGTGCTGAAAAGAAAAGGTTAAGGTCTTGACCCATCCAGGCGGGATTCACACAAGCCTGTGCAAAAAGGGTTAAGCTCTTTAAGATTGAGGCTTTTAGGGTTTAGGGTTTAGTTTAACCCAGCAGAGAGAGACAGGATGTGCCGTTCCTAAGGGCCATTGGCAACTCGTGAGAGAGGGACACAAACACATTGGTAGCATAGACATTTACATAGACATATACTATATTTTGCTTGTGTAAGGCTTGTTGCTCACTCAGAGCCGAGGTACCGGAGACCGGATGTGGTTTGCTGACATGCTCTATGCCATGGAATCCCTTGTGCCCTACATTGGCCACTTCCAAGAAACAAGCAACAAGACGTTGCTCTTTAACTTCGGCTTAAGCGCCCGGACTTGGGACCTTCACAGCGTAGTTGAAGTCGCGCAATTCCATAGGGGGATTCCAATAGCCTATAGCCTGCACTTCCCCCAAAGCAAACAGACAAGTGAGGCAACATCGACCGAGTGCAGGAAGACTGCGATGTGTTGACTCTGACCCTCGCGAAGTATGAGAAGGTGAACCTCAAGGAGTTCCGGTCTGTGATGTTTGCAAGCCTTAGATCACTCCTCCCCACCACCTGGAGCTCAGAGCATGAAAATGCCTGGGCATGGTTCTGGGGCATTGTGGAGAAGAAGGTCGAGGAGAACAAGCAGCTCCCTGTGCACAACCACCAGTGCCTCAGGAGTTTCCTTGCTCGCATGGATGAGGAGACTCGTTCCTTACACAACCCTAGCTCCCGACGCCAAACCCTAAAACACTAAAGCCCTAAACCCTAGACCTCAAACCGTGGCCCTAGCCCATCCGCATCCCTAAAGCTAAGCGTGGACGAGGAGACCCTCGCTGACTTCAAGCTCAAGGTCTTTGATACCTTCTTCGCAACGACTGAGGAGAGCCCTAAACCCTAAACCGAATTCTAAAGCATAACTCTAAGCCCTAATCCCGAACCCCAACCCTAGACTCTAGACCCTAAGTCTGAGCCCCACTTGCTTCGCAATGATTGAGGAGTCGCAGCTTTACCTGCGGGCGGCCAACAAGCGCCTGATGTACATCATGGGACGGCCTCTAGGTCGTGTTTACAGTGCTCCATAGGGTTTCATACGGTCTTAAAGGATTTCCATGTGATATGCTTGAAGACGCGCCCGGTAAGTTGTCGGGCATCTTAAACCTAAGCCCTAAAAGCCTAAGTTCCTGAACGCCAGCTCAGGATTCTGACGATCATGTCCGACATCTACACGAAGCTACAATCTCCGAAGAAATGTTTTTTTGTATTTTTTGTTCGTATACACCCAGAGAATATTAGCAATACTGTTTTAATCTGGTTCTAAGGGCGACTAAGGAAGACCCATCAAGCGGTGATTGCCTTGTCTGCCCTGGGGCTCCTCCACGCAGGACACGGCGTCCCCGAGGATTCTGGGCTCTTGTTAATAAGGATCTATACGGGGTCCTTTCAGGGTTTAGGTTTTTAAGGTTGAAGTTCCTATACTAGGGTTCTAACGTAAATAATAACATGGTTTCCTCAATATCGTAACGTAAATGACATCAATTAACAAGAGCCCAGGATTTGGTACGGCCCTTCGTTCAAGCCTTCATGGGAGGAATCAAGGAGAACTGTCCAGACGAGTCTTTGCATGATGGGCTTTGGTGGACGCTGGATCTCATCGGCAGGATCTTCATCCGAACTTTGGCGGAGGGCTCAACGCCTGTGATCATCGCTATTAACAGGAACACTTCCAAGGCCATGAAGACGGCTGTCGCGAACTACCCGCGTGGGGAGCGCGAGGTAATTTTGCTCAAGGTCCAAGTGGGAACCGAGTCCATGTCTCCCCTCATATGGGCTGTTGAGAAGCTTCGTAGCAGAGAAGGCAACCTTAGGGCTTAGCAGTTAGGTAACCTTTTGGGCTTACATACCCCCTCAGGCTTTTTGGGGCCCGGGAACCCAGCAACTGAGGAAGGGTGCCTTGGATAGTGCCAAGGAAATCCTCAACGACTTGCTCACCATGCGTGCAGACCGTGCGCGGTACTACTATGGCATGGAAACGCTCTTCACCCGCCACTCGGACATCATCAGCCTGCTGTGCACCAAAGCGCCATCCTTGCTTCCCACGTTGTTCGATGGCCTCATCTGGCGTTCCAAGAACGTCAAGAAGCTGGGCTCTTGTTAAGGAGTTCAGTCAAAGCAAACCATATTAGCCACTATGGATTCCTACGAGGGTAAGTTGCATTATTAAGCTCCTTAACCAAACCCCGATAGAAACCTTACAGGAACCCTTAATTGCGGGTAAGAACGCTCACCTAAAGTCACTTAAAACATGAACTGGCATCCCTAGCCAGAACCCAGGAATGGTCTGCGTCGCGCGAACTACTACATCGCTTCTCTGCTCCTTTGCTCTTCCCAGTAATTGTTCACAAATTTAGGGGTTAGGGTTTAGGGTAGTCAGGGGTTTTAGGTTGATGGGTTTGGGGGTTTAATTAGGGTTCAGCATTTCAGCGGTAGGGTTTGTGGTTGCCACAAGCCCTCGGGGATTGGAACTTGCAAAGCCCATGTTCTGTAGCATGTGACCCTAGAAAGCAAAGGCTGCAATGTATAATATATTGTGAATTTGAGAGGATAGTCCATGAAGCGTCCCCATGCGCCCCGAAACCCGAACCCTGCATCCTACCTGTTTGTTGTAGTCGGTACTCATCAAGATTATGAGAACCGTCGGAGGGAGCTTGCGATTAGAAATGGAGTATACCACACCCATCTAATACAGGGGCCTTAATAATTAGAATAGGGTTTTGGGTACAATTATAACATAGATATAATAAGGAACCCCCAAAATAGGACAGGTAATAATTAAGGCCCCCCAAATCCTGTCTAAGTTATTCCTGCGGCTGCCCTACTTGGAGGTTCATGGGTAGTTATACGTGGGGTTATAAGTATAACTACTCTACTTGCGAACGGACTGCGATGCCTTGTCAAGTTCTGAGGTGTCACTATAAGAGCTGTGAGCAAGACCGTGTAAAGTGCAAGAGAAGGGGGCACGCTACGCGTCCCTCGACTCTAGGGGGCATGCTACGCATCCCTCGTCTTTACCTTCCTATGTGACCGCCAACGCAACGTTTGGCTCAAGTCAATGCCCATAGCTAAGTGCTATATGTGTCTTCTATCCTGAGCAATCAGAGCTATCCCGTTGCACAGACGAACCGCCGCCGGCAGTGAGTGCAAAAGGAACGGCCGCCGGTTCTGCCTGCATAGGATCGCACGTGTGGAAGTAAGAGGGAGAGACAGGGTCCAGTCTGTGGAGAGTGCTAGCCAGCCACACCTACATTCATTACAGCTCTGGTGGGGAGAGCAGCAACCAAGTCGAGATCAATCCCCCACGCAGGTTATCAGCCGTACGCGGCTCTGCCTTTCTACAGCAACGACTACTTGATCTACTACGACCACAATGAACTCAGGATCAAGCCAAGATACGACAATGACTTTCGGTGCCGATGTGGCAGCGCCAGCCGTTGGTGAGTCAACAGCTGATGACACAGTGGTGCAATCCGTTGATAGCTCCACGGAAGATGACAAAGGTCAATCTTCTGCGCTTGCCATTGCAAAGGCAGTTCCCAAGGGGAAAGCAAAGAGTCTACCAAGAGCATCTACGCCTTCACGTCCGACATCCACAGGTTCGAGGACGGGCAAGGCTTCAGAGCGACGGGCCGAAGCGTCTGGTTTTCAGGCACCTCGGACTACGTCCAGGGCTAAGGACAAAGGAGTCAAGACCTTGGAGAAGAAGTCAAGACCATCATCTTCGAGAAGCTCTTCAGCACGATCGAGGACTTCGGCTACTCGTGGGCGTGACAAGTCCATGACTTGGAATCGGATGGTTACCAATCAACCACGCGATACTGACGATCTGGACATGACTCTGGATACGATTCCTGCACGTGGTGATGCGTCATCCGTAGCCACGCCTGCAATAGCTGACGGTCCGAATGCCTACCAGGAGCTGACGATTTCGCAACAGTTCGAAGCATCGAACCTTGCACAGCAAATGTACTATCGCAGTCAGGTGCAAGAGTACGAAGGAATCGTGCAGACCCTGATGGACAAGATCAAGGAGATGCAACAAGAAGATGAAGGATCTGGAATTCGCATTGAAGAATTGGAACGACAACGTGATCATGCATGCTTAGCCATGAGGCACATCAACAATGTCAATCAGGAGATGAAGCGAGACTATGAAACAGCTTTGTTTCGCATGGATGAACAGAACTCTGCTCAACAACGTCAAGCACATGCCGTTGCCGAGGATTTAGCTCAGCAGCTACACGTGTTCCGCACGGAGGCAGCCACCAACTTTGTGCAGTTGGAAGCAAGAGCGCAAGGTGATGGTGAGCTTATGGCACGTGAGTACGAGCGTCTGACTCATGAACTTCATGAACACGCCAGAGAGAACTTGGTCCTCCGGTCAAACACAGCAAGTTCGGAACAAGCCTTACAAGCAATGCAGGAACGATTCCACTTGGTCAAGAACCAGGAGTTGCGGGCTGTGAACGAGATCCAAGGGCTAGCTGGAGACAGCGCAGCCATTGAGCAAGAACGATTTCGGCTTCGCGAACGTCTTGGTGAAGAGGAAGAGTACCGCAGAATGGCTGTGAAGAGGATGCAAGAAGCAGAGGAACGACTTCATCAGAATGAAGATCATGCAAGGCGATCATTGCCTACCTTGCACGACGAGCTGAGTGAACTCAGGAGAACGCTCAAGGCGCAAGAAGATCTTCAAGCGAGGACACGCAGCGAATTGGAGGCAGCGCGAAACTCTAATCAAAGGGAAGCGACGCGACCTTCGAGCATGCCCATGTCTTCGAGGACTACTGAGTCTGGCTGGGAGCACGTAGGAAAGGATGTAATGCCTGCATTTTCCGTAGGAGATGAGGTACGATCCCCTGAAATACGGTCCCCAAGTCAAGTTAGTCCAGTCGCCAAAGAGAAGTTCGCATTCTCGGAATCGGACAAGGACAAGAACCTTGTGATGGACGGAATTCCATTCACCGGTGGAAACTTCTTCACTGGCCGCAGTTCAATGCCAATCGTGGCGGATGCAATGCCCGAGCACCACGTGCCAGGTATTAGCAGCCCAGCGCTTGCGCGTTCCACGCCTAGTGCAGCCACTTTGTTTGGCATACCAAGCGGATTTCATGGGAAAAGTGATGCGGCAGCCGTGCGTGATCGACAGCTACGCGAACTCTTGGGGGATCGCGGGATGTTGGGATCGAAGTCCACAGCATCGGCCAGCTCCTCAAGACCTGTTGGCATCGACGGTGTCACCGCATCTACTAAGGGCAACGACCTCATTGGTCCCCCTGTCGCCTATGACGATTCCATCCATGAGGCAAGGAGGCGTCAGATCGAGAAAGAGATCGCGGAACAGTACGAGGAGAAGATTGCTGATCTGCGAAGTGAAGTACTCAAGGCTCAGAAAGCCGAACAACGTCTCAGAGCTGATCGTGATGAGTGGAGATTATTCGCTGAAACGATTCAAGAAAACAATGGAGACGATGACGGTGATGAAGCTGGCGACGAGAACGGAGAGGAAGAGCATGATGAAGGTACCGGCACGGGGTATGATCCTCCAGATCCGCCTGACGACGATGATGACAAGAAGAAAGGTGGAGGGGGCAAACCCGAATCGGATCCTGGTTCGCATGCGCGTGATCCTGATGGAGATGCGGATCCTGAAGTTACAGAGGTGAGAATTTCCAGGAGGGAAGCCGACAAAGTGACCGTTCCTCCATGGCCTACTCTCACTCATCTCAACAACTGGCGATCTGTGTGCACGGCAAATGTCTTAGGGGCATCAGCCGACCCACATCATGAGGACTGGATGTTATGGCTGGCACCAGCGTTCAACCCATTCCCTGATGTCGAGGCATTGAATGATTCAGGACACAAGAAGTTCAAGAGCATCGACGTCAAATTGGGGATTGCCATGGTCGCAATGCTACGTGCCGGTGGTGACAAATCAGCTGACCTGTACCTCGAGGTGAACCGGAAGGCCAACGATTACATCAGCAGGCCTGACGTGAAGATCATCAAAGGACGACAAGTCATCGCGATGATGTACGAAAGTTTTCGAACGCATGATCGTCTTGACATGATCATCACTCTTGAGTATTTGGTGAAGCTCCAGTACCAAGGCGACAACAAGCTCCATACGTTCAAGCAGACGTGGTTGGAAGTTCTGGGACGGATGAGACCAGAGGACATTCCATCCAAAACAGCTCTCCGTGATTGCTTGTACAGCAAGATCAAGGACTCGCCCGCAATGAAAATGGACTTGGGCATGCACTATGAACACCTGCCCTACAATCATGAAGATCGATCGTACGACAACCTGATGAAGATCATTGATCGTACCATCATGCGGAAACGAGAACAGTCAAATCTCACTCAGACTCAAATTGGCTTGCGTCAGATGCTTGAGGGCAAGGATTTGCTCGCTGCACCGGCCAAGGTACCTGAGAAACCTACGCCTAACGCAGCTCCATCCGCAAAGGTCAAGGCTTCGCCGACCAAGCCGGATAAAGCAACACCTGTACTACCTCAAAGCAAAGCGAAGAGTCATGCGAAGACCAAGCCGAAGCCCAAGAAGAAGACGAGGAGTGAGTCAGCGGACAACAGAGGTGACAAAAGCAAGAAGCAAATCCGCTGCAAGTTCCATTTCACAGATGCAGGGTGTCGAAATGGCGATAAGTGTCCATTCAGTCACTCGAAGAAGACTCCAGAACGACCCTTCACGCCGAGGACGAGAACTCCAAGTCCATCTGGAGGAGGAGGAAACAGGATTTGCTACTCGTTCAAGAACACAGGCTCGTGCTCAAGAGAGAATTGTCCTTTCAAGCATGAGGCAGCAGCTACCCCAGCTCCGGAACCAAAGGCAAAAGCTAAAGCCAAATCCGAAGCAAAGGCAGCTCCAGCGAAGCCGAATGCCAAGGCCAAGGCACTCCCTGCGGCACCCGCCATCAGATTGTGTCGAAGGTGGAATCCATCAGCTCCGGCTATATGGAAGCGATCTTCAAAACAAGATGAGGAGGAGTCAGATTGTCCATCCGTTGACAGCGACGCTGATTCGGATTGTTCAACAGATGACGAATCCTCGGGAACGACTACGTCGACCCGAAAAGTGACAAAGCGCAATGTGACATTTGCCAATGACGTGAAGTTCATTTCTTCGTGTCCGAGACGATCGAAGAAAGACAAAGAGCGGAAGGTGAAGTACGTCGACATGGAAGCGTTTGTCAATGATGAGGATCGCGCCGTGAGCTTGGAATTCGCCAAGCACAAAGCGAGATTGAGGGCACAGATCATGAGAGACATGGTTGACGACGATGATGATCAATGCG